CTACTATTGCCGCTACTGCTGCCTAGCAACTATACTAGATACTACGTGAGGCGGCCAGCTTCGATCGTATGGGGTCCTCGAGTGTTGCCACGGAAGAGAGGGTGGTAGTGAAGGATTATCGTCAACTGCCTGTAGAGCTCGAGACTGGACCAGTTGGCGATGGGTAGGATGGGGTATACCTCAATCACTGGGGTGATGACGTTGTTATGGTAGTCCTTTCCGGAAGATTAAAGTATTTACGGTCGCGGCGCACAACATGATCGACCAAATAGCGCAGTTGTTGACTATGTACAAACTGATAGAAAAAGCGTATTTCTACGATTTTGGTGAGTGCGACTAGCTCCATATTTCCCCTCTGGAGCTGCTCAGGTCCCTATTGTGAGTTCGCCAAGTTCATCTCCTGTTGGTCTCCGTTTCGGGTGAGCTGAAGGTGTGGGTTTCGGGTTTGTTGGAAGTCTGGTGTCCGTCAGAACGATGGACTGGACCCTCCTAGAAGCCCCATGGAGAAAGCCGTGAGGGGCTCTACTCTATGCTTCGTCTGAGTTGCCCGACGTGTGGTAGGCATTGGATAGGGCCGAGAAGTTGCCGGGGGCCCGAGGGGGTAAGAAGCATCATGTTACCGAGTTCACACCAGAAGAGAAAATGAAATATTATGAGGTAGTGGTGGCAGGAGGAGGAGGAGGAGGAGGGAGCGGGTATTTCTTCGGTCGTGTAGGGTGGGGGTAGATACTGCGGGGTCGGCCCGAGTTCAGATCGAGTGAGGCGTTTCTGTGTATCTTCCCCCCGGGGCCCCTGTGTCGGCTGATGCTGGCCATGGAGGAAGCCCATCTCGCATCGAGGAAGAAACTCATCATGCTACCAGGTGAGTCCGAACGGGGCTGTCACTGGGTGGTCGTGGGTAGGATCTAGGTTGGCGTTTTGATCAAAACTTCAAATTGGCGAACGACTCGTGTAATTGGAGTAACGACTTACGTCGACTATTTGTGGAGAGGAAGGAGGAGGGGGTAGCTGCTTTGGGTGAGGGGCCTGAGGGTAGGGCCGGACTGGTACTACTGCCGCTGCTGCCCTAGGTGCTATATCTCTATTTGACGTCCATCACATTCACCACTTCATTGGAGTGCCCATCACTGAGATACCTCTAATCGACACGTGTGTTAACCCGTTGTGGCTGGGGAGATCCAACCGTGTGTTGGAGCCGGACAGGGCCAGCAAGGGTTTGGTGGGCTTTGGCTGCCCCGACGGCGGGAGATGCGATTTAGGTCCTATTTTTCCCGGCTCGGAAAAACTATCCTGATCGTTTCGACCCCAACAACTACATATACAAACGAATCTTGAAGCCCGTGGTCGGTGATATTCTTATGAAGGTCCGAAAGGTGTAGGAAGGTGAAAATGGGGAAATATTTAGCGGAGCGAAGCAGAATTGTGTAGTTATCCACGGTTTGAGGTGGAGGATCTGGTGCGTCACAAAGCAGTAGTTTGGGTACCGTACGCCCCTACTATATGTGCTCTAGTCGAGCAGTATAGTGCTGGCATCACCATTTTCGTAAGTAAAGTGATTAGCTCAGTAGGAGGCCCCCTCAGGTACCCTCATTGACCTATCTGGTAGACCTTGTGCTCAATGCGTCTGATAAGAAGTTCCCTACTATGTGTTGGGTCCTGGTCAATGGTAGTGTATGTAGTGCAGTGCACAGGTACGATACTATAACAGGCCGGGAGTGCTATGCTGAAGGGTGGAGGGCTGAGGAGGCTGGTGACCCCTACCCTCCTGGGCACATGTTAACGAACGAGGAAGCGGCCAAGTGGGGTTGCTGAATTCTCCTTGTGCTCGTTATGGCTACCGCGGTTTGTATTTTCCACGTCGACAGGTACTGGTTGAACTATAGCTTCTTTTATACGAGGCCCTTCTTCCACTACTTTGACTCTCCCGAGGACCTCCAAGTGAAACTGGAGGCGTTCAGTCTGGGTGAAGCCAGAGAGAATTCCTGGAGGATCAGACACTATGTGAGCCACAATTTGATACCTAGTGCTGTTGAGGGGTGGAAGGCCCTCCTAACACGGCTGGGCTTATGACCAACATGGACGTATCTAGGCCAGCACTGTGTTGAGTTTTCTGGAAGCTCTGGTCACTCCTTCGTTTCTGGCCAGTTCAGAATGTCAGAGGAGTCTCGGCGTATTGTGGAGTACCAGCCGAACACAGCAGTGCCGCAGTTGTCGATTCAGAGTCATGCACTGGGGGAGCCCACTAGGCCTGTGGTAGGGTGTGAGGAGTGGAAGGTGTGGAAGGTGTGGTATTCCGGGTTTAGGGGTTGCCCAAGCCTGGCCATCTCCTGTTGGAGAGTACCCTCCCGAGTCTATCGGTGCCGGTCCTGGCGGGGGAGGAGGTGTTGCCGTTGACGCCGTCATCGAAGGTGGGTAATGGACTACAGGAGGGCTGGGGTGATGCTGGTTTGTATCAGAGAGCCATGGAGTACTCGTCGTCATTGAAGAGCCCGTCATCTGCTGTCAGTAGGTTAGGGTAGCGGGACTTGTCTCAAGGGCTGGGCTATGGGCGTGTTTTTTGAACGCTTTTCGGAGCGATTACCCTTGGTATGAGATGCTTGTGGTTGGTCATCGTTTGCCTGTGAATGCGCGATTTTCGTTGGGGAATGTCCGAAATTCCGTGAGATCGTCCTTTGGCCGGTGAATACGTGTCCATAAGAGACTCGGTGATCTGATTCGAGAAGTTATAAAGCATTTGGTGCCTAGGGTGTGTCGAGATACACTGTGTAGGCACCACAGCAAGCCCACCTGCTGCAGCTAAGAAGAGAAGGAAGATCGTCATGAACGGGCGGCGAATGATGGACCTGGGAGATCAGCTTGTGTGATGCATTCGTCTACTGTGTATGCCTTATCATCGTAGTGTTTCTAAAATCACTTACCTTGGGAGCCGCTATTGAGTTGCCGGGGAGAGGAGTCCAAGAGTAGCTCATTAACGATGAAAAGCCCTGAAGTGATAGCAGCTGCGGTGGAAATGGTAGAGCCTGGGAGCTCCAGCAGGCCTAGTTCGGTGAGGGGGAGAAGGAGGGCACCTAGTCCGTGTCCCCCCGTATCTGACGTCCCTAAACTGGGGTCGGCCCCTCAGAGGAAAGTAGGGATGGAGTGGTAGGGAAGGCAGAGTTGTTGCTTGTAAGGTGTCGGACAGACGATTGCCGCCGCGACGCAGGAGTAACATTTCAGACTCGGGTCTTCCTTGCGTGGTCATTCAGGTGGTAGTAGTAGTAGTAGTAGTAGTAGTAATAGTAGTAGTAGTAGTAGTAGTAGTAGTAGTAGCAGTAGTAGTAGTAGTAGTAGTAGTAGTAGTAGTAGTAGTAGTAGTAGTAGTAGTAGTAGTAGTAGTAGTAGTAGTAGTAGTGGTAGTGGACTGATAGAGGGGGTGCCATAGCAGTGGATTGTGATGTTCCTTTTGGCCTAGTTGGGCTCCCTTTAGGCCCCTCCGACATCACCAGGGCCAAGTCTAAGGCTATCGCCTCTACCACCGCTGACTCCCCCGCGGTCGAGAGGTATGCCTAGGAAGAGAGCACGTGAGAGTATTGAAGAGAGCAGTAGAGTACGGGAGGCATCTAGGGCTAGTGATAGTCTACTGTAAGGGTAGTCTACTGGACTGCAACGGCTAGGTACAGTCCTACCTCCATCGCCCAGGGGGTGTAAAGAGGAGGAAACCACAGGAGAAGTGAAATCACCAGAGTCGGGGACTTCGAGGGTACCCAAGCGGCGTATGGTCAAGTCAGAGGTGGGAGATGACAGCGAAAGCGAATCAGAAAATGGAGGCTCGGGGAAGGGGCTGCTGGGGTAACTCGAGTCCGTTGAGGAAATGCAAGATTGCAAGATTTGCTATTTGTCTAGGTATATTTCTGCAGTGTTCAAGTCACGTAACAGTATGTAATTAGCTCATGCACGCCTATAGTTTCACTCGAAGTGGAAGCCTCTCGTGTTGGGTTCGCTCGGACCGTTGTCATTGGATGTTGTCGGTCTCCGGTTGCCTTTGACACGATGTCCCATGAAGCGAGGATGGAAGTGGGAGTATGCGTGCAGTGCACTGCAGTGAAACCAGCACGTCCGAGGCACCACTCGCTGTTGAGGGGCAGCTCGAAGGAGGAGAGGATGGTCCTGGCGGCGGGAACGATGTCGATGGACAGGTGAGGGGGGAGGACTGATCGCGGCGCCGTTGAATTGCATGGGGTAGGGCGAGCTCGGTGGAGATCCTCGAGTACGACCCGACAACGGAGGGCTGGGTAAGGGTAGAGGCTATTGAGCATACTTTCCCTGTAATAAGCGATGGAGTGATAGGAGGGCACTGTGGGGCTATAGGTTGGGAAAATCCTATGGGCACCGCCGATGGAGAACTATGTGAAGCAGACAGCGGAGGAATTCGTTTCATGGTGAGGGAGGGGTAGTGGGAAATGGCAGTAGAAATGACGACAGAATAAGAAGCCGTATCGTTGCGAGGAACGGTCGTAGTCTCGGACTAGGGGGGAGAGGGAAGGTTTGTGGTTGTCAGCTCAGACCAGCTCCGGTTGTGGCGATGTGAACAAGGCCGAGATAAGGGCTTCAAGTTGGCTGGGATCTTCCGACCAGCACCGGGATGCTCTGGTGGAGGCGCGTAAGGGCATCTATTTGCTCTCCATGTTGAGGATTCACTTCAGGCCCTGCTGTCCATATTCTGGAGTTGCATGGAGTGGCGATAGGCTAGCGGCCTGTACACGGTCGGGGCTGGTCATGGTATGGAGTACCACAACCTACGATATACTACGCTGCTCGGACTTCGGCAACGACACGTCCAACCCTATGGTGAGGAAGAGGCGGGGCCCTTCTTGGCGTTTCTACACGGCCCCTGTGGTTTAGTCCCTATGTGACGTGAGCTTCGTGGCATCGGATGTGCTGGCAGTCTGCAACACTAAGGGGGAGGTGCTCCTCATGGATCTGGCTGAGGAGGATGCTGATGATGCTGCTGTAGTGGTAGGGAACATATACGCTGGCTGTGTCTGGGGGATGGCAATAGCAGGTCCAGCGCTCACCGGAAGAGTTCCCCGAGCAGATGATTTGGTGAAGGCGTGGTACTGCTTTGTCTGCTATGAGGTGCTGTCGTTTTCAGTTTCGCGTCGATGTCCGAGCATGGGAGACTTGGGCTGGTGATGCAGGAGACCGGCGAGATCGTTTGTTATCGTTTCGAAATGCGGGGTGAAGAGGGCAAGTTGCGGTATCTGGCCACAGGTATGTGCCGTCGTCCGTGGCAATGTACGGTATGGCTTGCGTGTCTGTCAGTTTATACGGAGGCGTCTGTGGCGGCTGCAACCTTTGCCTCGTTTGAAGAGCCTACAGGGTAGGGAGGGCGGCAAGGGGGAATTTTCGGTGGACAACAGAGTCGGACTTTTGGGTCAACTGCAAAGCAGTTTAGTCCCCGCTAGAGTTATAATGGAATATCAACAGATTGTAGCATCATCCTTAGGCCAACCCTATGTACGGCCAATGACAACGGCACTCTATCGTTGTGGAAGTGGCCAGAAGAAGGTAATTGCATGAGCCCATTTCTTGGTTCACATGGAGTGTCTTCAGGTCCTCGTGGCCCTTTCCCAGCAGCCCGGATGCGTCCTCTTTATCAATGGTCGTTGAGCTTACCCAATAGGGAAGGACTTGTCTCCACTGTGCAAGTGTGCTCGGAGAAACAGCTGAGCCCCCCGAGCGGGTGTGGACAGGTAAGGAGAAAGAGGGGCATTTTGTACCGTTCGTTCATCCTCTTTTCTGTTCATCAGGCACTGGTTGTTAGCACAACGGGCGGCCGTGTTGCCCTCACTTTCTTGCCGGAGGATTTGCCTTCTACGTGGGAGGACCAGGAGTCTCCCCGACCAGCTGCCAAGGCCCCAAGACTGAGTACGGGCTCATCGGTCCATACCCGAACACGTGAGTATCCGTCTAGTAGCCTCTGGGGCATGTTTGTCCATGTCTTAGGGCTCTCGGGAGGCTCAAAGGGGGGCTCGGAGACTGGCAGGGTAGCTTGAGGACGGTCTGATAGTGTCGTTGTATTGGTGCCTTAGGAACGTCCTTGGGTGTTGGAGTCCTCAACGATAAGGTCCCCCTTATCGACGCTGGCAGCAGAGTGAAGTTCAAGCCACGTTTTCGTATGTGTACGTTCTGTTGTATTGTCAATGCGAGACTCGAGGCGGGGGAGCGGGGCGGTCGGGAAGGAGGGGTGTCTGTAGGCCTCTTCGCCGCAACCAAATGCTTCCTCATCAGCATAGCAAAAGAACATGAGACTAAGGGCGACTGAGGTGACTTCCTCCGATAGGGCCATGTACAGTATGGCGAGCCACCTATCATTCTTTAGGCAATTCTCGTTGAGACAGTTCGTCCTCGAGCGGAAGACTACCCGTCGTGGATGACCGTCGCGTGCACGTGGTTGGCCCTTTTCGGGTTGGGCTTTGGTTTGGCGTAAGGCCACTTTTGATTTGGCCCGGCTCGAGATGTCGAGTCCTCCTCTTCTACTGCAATCGTTGTCGTGACCAGCTCTCGGGAGAATTTCATAACATACCCAAAATCCAGGTATCTGTTGTTGTGGTATCGGCAACGGAAGCACGAGAAGGCTGTCAAACGACATCAGAAAATACTCGACAAGCAGCGCCTTAAGCGGGCATCTTTGAATGCGCGTGGGTTGGCTGGAGGCTTTCATCTCCACAGCGAGCGTCGAGTTGGGTGTCTGTACTCAGTCATGGCGGCTAATGACAGTGCCGAGGCGCTGGCGAGGAAAACGGGGGTTGGTGACACGGGGCAGAATTATGATGGAGACTATCACCACGAGAAGGGCCCGAAGGAGGTGACTTGCGAGCATCGGTCGTCCATGTTCTGGTTGAGAAGCAGTCAGTTGTTGTTTTTGCAGGCAGGAGCCCGACGCCATGACCATCACCGTCGCAAGGTGAAGGAACGTACTCGACCTCGTGTGTCTGCTACCCCATTGCCAAGTCCTGCCAGGGACAGGAGTATGCCTGGTCCTCAATACAGTATGAATGACTCGTCTTAGGCCCTTCCCCGGCGGCAGGCAACATTCGGAAGAGCAAGCTAGTTCCTCGCGGCTGAGTTGACATGGAAATGATGACCACCATGTCGCTCGAGGCGCGTACTTGTTGTTTCCCAGAGTGTCGTGTTCGATGATCGTCTGAGTGGGGATGCTCATGTTGAGTCGTTCCAGTTTTATGTCATAAAACCCAACGCCCTCAACGGTTGTGGTCAGTGGTCTCCAACTGTTCCGTTCACGTCGGAGAGGTGTGCTGCAATAACACTTTGATACGACACGTACATCGTAGCCGGAAACGTAATCCACAGCGATTTCGCCTATAGATGCGAGGCTCCCAAGTCGGCGGAGCATGTTTCTGAACCGCAGTCATTTGGTCTTGCCGGATTCTCTATGTCGAGTTCTCTCTTGGGCAGTGGTATGCTCGTCGGTGGTGCTCCTAGATGTCGAGGAGTGTATTCGGGAGTGGTGCATACGATATAAAGGATAAGACATGGAATTGTGATAATAGGGCTACGAGGCCTATTTATAGCGCGCCACGATGGACACTCATAGGAAGCACAACTAAACAGCCGTAATGGTCGTAGCGACTTCCTGACCTGTTTATGTGATGCATCGCTCCGCTACTACCACTCCGGAAAAAGGGGGCAAGTTCATGAGATGTAGACACTTAACTTTCGGAATTGAATCAGATGGATAAGCTGGCCATTTGAGGGGCAGAGAGTGGCGGTCCACGAGAGAGTTGAATAGAAGTCCTCTGCCGATCCTGCGAAGAGAACCAAGGGAGAGGCAGGCTTGGACAGTCGCTGTAGTTAATGTGATGTCCCTTTTCTGATTCGGAGGATTTGTGTTACACGTAGTGGGGACAGTCTGAAAGCACTGGAGAACCCAAGTAGGAAGAACGAGGGAATTAATCTGTCGTCCACAGAGAGGTCGTTCATAGAGGTCTGAATAACGATTATGAGCTGTTGCTAGTGTGACGGCAATCACCTCGTTGGCCAACCCTTGAAGATCCCTCTCTAGCTCGTCCACACGGTTGGTCATGTCATCGAGGCGGCCCACTATGGTGCCGGACATGCTCTGGAACCGAGTTTGCTGACGATGGCGAGACGGGCGGAGCGAAGCAGAATAAAAGGCACACCATTTTTTGAGCAGATTTGATACGAAGACTGTGAGCTCCTGCATGGCTTGATCGGCGACTGATGTCTCATACGGGGTGGTAGACGCTCGTTCAACATCCGACAAAGCAATGGACGGCTAGCAGGTTAACACCTCCCTGCTTTATTGCATAGGGTGTCTTCTTGGTGACTCCAGTTATGGATAAAAGCAGGCAAGACCTGACAGAACTCGAGTGAGTGTCACACAAGTTCCATCACGGAGGCATACCCCGTAGAGTGGCAATGCAAACTACTATATGCTGCTGATTCAGTCGGGCTAAAGAGTATCAACATCTCGATAAGATCGATTAAGATTCGACCTATTCTCATTAATTGATAATCATCATGTGCAACAACAGCTCGTTGAGGGTAGGCGCAAACGCTTGTCCCCTACTCCAAAAACAGGACAGAATCCAGAGGGCAGAGATTCTCTCCTAGCGGCTGTTGCAGCACAGTGGACCAACGAGGTCCGCGGTCCATGAACGGTTGAGCCCACTGCAGTGGATAGCAAATTGTAGTTCGCTCTATCAGTACCCCTGCGCGGCTGGAGGCGCCCAGTGTAATAATGGCGACCTCCAGCTATCACACTACGGACGGACCGCAGTCAGTGAGCGCTAAGTCTCATCATGAGCGTCAGGCCCTCGCATTCTATAACCTCAGACACAGCCAAAGAATTGATCAATCCGCAGCGCCTCTGATGAACAGAAGGCTTGGCAAATTACTGTCAATAAATTCTTTTGTCATCATGGGGAGTCATTCATTGTGGCATCAGATTCAACCGTATAACTTCATAGCTACCTCTGCGGTGGTAATAGCAAGATGATGGGTTGACTCATCACAGCCATCAAATCCATTTCAGATGTTCACAAGCGGCCATAGCGTGATCGATGCCATTAGTTGTCGGCGCAAGATCCTCAGATATATTAGCGCTCGCCATTCTGATCGATTATTGTTTTCGACGTGCCTTGCGCCGTGTATGGCAGACTCGACGGTCCATAGGCACCTCTTATAGTATTCGGTAACACTGAATCCTCTACAAAGGCTGTCACCATGAGAGTGAGCATGAATACTGCACTGTAACGGGACTATTTGTGAGCTCCTAAGGACCCGTTATCAAACTCAATGTCGATTCCTCCGACCAACCCCGAGGAAGATACTCCCGATACCCGACAGGAAGATCCGGAAGAGGATATCTACATCAACCCTGACGACTGTATAGACCTAGGGGAGGGAGTAGATGATTCGGCAGAGGTACTATGGAGGGGTGGTCTACTGTACAGTTTGACATAATAAAGTCGCCTACATAGGACGAGTAGCTGCCACGTGAATAGACCCGCAATAGAGCGCTCCCAAAGGGGTATGTGATGCGTTTCGAAGCAGGTCGCGGCGGACGTGAGAGCTGGTGTGGCCACCGACCTGTTGGAGGCTGCTGATGAGGAAGAGGAACAGGACAACTGCTCCATCACATACCCCTTCACTGACGCTGCCTTGTGTCTGGCAGCCAACCCTAAGGACCATACACTGGTGGCGGTGGTACGTAGCATTACACAGCGAATCGGCTCTTGGAGGGGTCTGTTGTAGGGTCTTCAAAATGATACTGCTGAGCTACTACGTATAAGGCCGGGTTCGGTGGAACCTCTGAGAATTCTCAAGGGTAAGGGTACATCCTAGGTCCGCATGCTTAGCATCGCGCTAGTCGAGCAGGCCCAGACGAAGTGACGTCGTGCCAACTCAGGTCACACCGACAGTGTAGTGTCAGTCGCCTTCAGCTCTGATGGAGAGCTCCTGGCTACTGGCAGTTATGATGGCACTGTTAGGGTATGGGAGATGGTCAAGCTGATGGCTGATACCGGGGGTACGTCGATTCCTCCTTGTCTACCACTCAGTGACCATTGTAGATTGTACCACTCCTATGCTCACCCTGGAGGGCCCTGGTGAAGGTGTCGAGTGGGTTTCATGGCATCCCAAGGGGCACGCTGTGTGCGCTGGTAGCCAAGACGGGACGGCCTGGATGTGGTGGGCAGGAAAGTCGAGTGGAGGCGGCAACGTTATGCAGGTAGGGGGAGAGTCAGCGTCACGCGCCACGAAATTATTATGTTACTGGGCAGGTCTTTGCTGGGGCCCATGGAGCTTCTGTGAACTGTGGAAGCTTTTCGGTGGATGGTAAGGCTGTGGTGACGGCAAGCTTGGATGGAGTAGTGGCAGTGTGGAACCCCAGGACCGGTAGTCGGGTGTGGGAATCGAACCCGGGACCTCCCGATGGGTTGTAGGCGCGTCTGCTGTGTCTTGTCGCACTAACGAGGAGGAGCTACAGCGGAGCCAGCGCCAGAGACAGCAGGACGGGGACACAGATATGGGGGAAGAGATCCCAGGTGGGGGGGAGGGGAATCGGCAGCCATATGATTGTGCGACTTGACCTGTGGTAGAGGGCGGTATCGTCTCGATGGCGCTGATGCCTCCTGAGGCCGGCAGTAGCCCAGTAGCGGTCGTCGGTACGATCGATGGAGATGTCAAGGTGAGTTTCAAGAGGTCCTCGGTTCGATCCCCAGGGATGGTATTTATTTTACATTTAGTTGGTGCAGTTGGAGACAGGGAGGCTGCTGGGCCAATTAAGAGGGTCTTCAGACGTCCGTATTGCCGGCCAGTCGTCGGCCACGACTGCTGATGGATCATCCTCATCCGAGGATGCCTACAGTATTGAGGCTTTGGCATTCAGCAAGGCCACGGCTACCGCTGCCACCACGGCCCAGCCTTCTCCTATACTTCTGGCCACGGGTAACCTGAATGGCAAGCTGCTGATTTATGAGGCATCCAAGTTGCTGGCTAGAGGGGTACTGTAATGGCATGTCGTCGTACGGAGGGTCATCATCACGTCTCATCCTTAGTCCGGTCCGAGACACCAGGTGACGCTATCTGCAGGGGCTACTCGGCTGGCCTGGCACCCCCTGGGCCTGCCTGTGGTGGCGGTGGGCCAGACTGATGGAGTGGTGGAGGTCGTCAACGGCTTGACTGGTGAGATCTTGTCCAAGTGCTTGGGCCACCAGGAGCAGATACTAGATGTAGTAGAATGTTGGCAAAGGGCTTCGAATATCATCCTATTAGGTACTATGCGTGCCAGGCTTCGAAGAGGGTTGGTTCCGAGTCATATCGGCAGGTGATGATAACTGTATAAAGATATTTGACCTGCAAGTTATGGCTTGAGCTCATTGCCTCCTTATCGACGTCTAAACCAGCGCTGTCATCGTTGTTCGTTTCTCCCACATCCTCGCCACTGTTGAGCTCATTGGTCTTGTCATGGTGTTGCTATCTGTTACCATCATCCGCCTTTGCGGAGTATCATCCCTCCATGGCTTTCTTCGAGGCATCTCGACTGCCCCTATATAGTAACATCTACAGCTGCACTACCCTAGTGGGTAACTGGCACGAGGAGCGTCATGAACCTCAGCAGAGAGCAAGGTGAAGGGGTTGCGACGGTGACGGCGACAGTGTTGGAATATATGTTTGCTCCTCTTAGCTGAGCTCAGGACTAGTGTACGGAAACGAAGAAAAAATTTCCACAAATTTCCGCAAAATTTTCATAGTGTCACGAACACATACAGTTAAGCATGTTCGTATTTTCTCCCCCTGATGCAGGTACGGTGAGGGGTTCTTCTCGGAATCGTCCCTACTACTGCCGAATCCCAACTCGAGGACCTACGTCACTACCAGCAAGCATTCAGCAGAGGAAGGCCTGGGTGTCGATAAGAAGCAGCATTCTCTTAATAAGGAGGACCTCCAGGTCAGGGCATGTTGCAGTTGTTGATGGTCTGCTGGGATGAGTCACGCTCTAGTATTCGCTCGGCTGTACTTTTGTGTGAACAGTGGGGTGTGGTATGGTACGACTTCCTGCTGCTGTGGCTGTGCTCTAGGAGTTAACGCCCTTTGTAGGCCCTCCTGTCATCAGAACCAGCAAGTGACCTATTGGGAGGGGCATGTCGATATGATTCCGACATTAGTACTACATCTAGGGACGCTTATGGTGACCCTAGGGCCATCACCGACCCGGCCAAGGGTAGGGAGTACCTCGTTGAGGTCACGCTGGTGTCATTGTGGAGTCAGGCGACCATGTGCCTAGCGAGGAGCTGGAGGAGTATAGGAGGAGGTGGACGAGAGGTATGGATGGGGAGGAGGAGACTGGTCCGTTTCGAAAGGAATAATGTTAGCTGGGGAAGTGAATAGTCTGCGTAGTATTATAATACTATGGTAGATGTATTGTCGATATGGGCCCCTTCACGCTGGGACAAGGCGTTAGGTCATCATCTTGGTCAGATCAAACAGGCTTCCAGTTCAAGCGGTATGGTAAGATGTGAAAGGATAGCGGCTTCCTGCTGTGCTCCATCTCGAGCCATGTTATGGACGTCAGTATATGATGTTGTATTGATTCTAAAGACTTGAGTTCACGCCGAGATGGTATGGGACCGACTTTGTAGTTGACGTTATATGCAACCGACTACTACCGTTGTAGGCCCCAAGTAGTATTAGCCGCTCTGTATTATGTCTTAAAGTGAACAGCAGCAGGGATGTGCTCGTCGGGGTTGGTGATCTGGTAGGGCTTTCTCGAGGATAGCATAATAATGAGGAGGCACCCGCAATAAGTCCTAGAGGAGGAGTAGTGGACGGCATCACATGGGTGGTCATGGCATTCTACCACTGTGTGTCATGAGTGATGGTTGAGTACTGTCATCAACTGAGGCTCGAGTTGATGTCTCGGCCTGGTCATCATCGTCATCATCAGCTTGCCTCGGCACCCATGCCATCCTCGGCTACCACGGCTGCTGAGCTCTGGCTGGCAGATCTTAAACGTGCTCAAGCGACTCTTCAAGTGGCTCCTCCTGGTTGTGTCTCCCTATACTATTACCGCTTTGTAGGACGTCGTTCGGGAGTGTGATGGGACGCTGAGAGCAGCTGCCATTGGAGGAGGTGGAGGACGGTCGCAGGATGGTGTTGGAACGGTGGGCCGGGGAATTCTCATGGAGAGTCTGCTGGGTTGGTTCTACGGGATGGCATCAGGCTATCGCAGTAACTCGAGGGCGCATTGCCCAGCTACGCCAGCTGCATACACACTTAGCGAGAGGCTTGGCCAACCTCTCTGGCGAGCCAGAAGCGTAAGCAATTGATTCATACCACTCCTCGACGTAATCAGCTGCTAGGTATGGACTGACGCAACGAGAGGTCTTGCACAGAGCTGAGCTGCTCAGGCAGTTGGAAGGGGACATTCAGCGTGCCTGGTCCAGCTTCCAGTCCAATCTCCAGCGAAGGAGTGGCCAAGCTGATCTCGAGAGTGAGCCGTAGTCTTCTGTAGTGGGCCATAGTTGGTGTTTGTGATTGCATACAGATGGCCTTGCCTCGGGGAGAGGCGATGGTTGCGATACAGTCCCGGGCTCGGAGGGCAGCATGAAGACTTCAGAGCAACTCGTGGCGCAACAAGATGAACATCTCGACTACCTAAGAGGAAGCGTTAGCAATCTCAAACACATTGGGACTGCGATCAACTCTGAGATTGAAGTCTATCGTTCGCCCTGCCGGCTTGTGGTGGCACGAGTGTTTTAGGTACACTGTAAACTATTGGATGAGGTCACTGAGGCGACCGACCATGCTCATGCGAAACAGCAGTAGGACGGGTCATGGATAGCAGTAAGAGAGTCTGCAGTAGGTACACGCATTCGATGCTGCAACACCATGTGGAGCACACATCTACTACTTTCCTCTGGGGCGTTATCGTGTTTTTATTCTCCGTTTTGATATTCGTGACGTTATACCTCTAGTACTGGTATCATGTCAACACGAAATTCGTGGAGTGTCTCACTTAAAGCTCGCTGGTCTGTTGCGTTGAAGTCAATTGATCAATGCTAAACGGTGCAGGTATCAATCAGCTGTAGTGACTTCTCCGTTCGAACGAATGACAGAATTTGCAGAAGTTGTGGAGGACACAAGTGTCACTGCTGGTGGTGGTGATCATCAACAGCAGACCATTGAGACCAGGATGAGTGCCTTGAGGGAGAGGATTGCGGAATGCCAGGTAAAATGTTCACGTTGCACGTCAAAACTCAGGGTTGTTCTTGGCGATCCCGGACAGTATTATGTTATGATGGGACCGCCTTGATGAGATGTGAAAGTCTGTCCATGCTGAAGTATTTAATTGTCGAGAAAAAGCATCCACCGTGGGGTTCGAACCTGAGCGTAGAACTAACAGGAGCCTCATAACTAGACGGGATTTTCCAACGATGCAAGGCAGCCAGTTTCTCAGTTACTCACGTACGGTAATTACGAGGAGAGTCCAGCGGACTTCCATAGAGCGAATCCCTGCAACGTTGATTCGGTTGTCGGGAAGAATCGTAACACAGAATGTGTAGGCGTAGGTGATCGTGTACATTTTTCTGGTGATGCGTTTCAGGTTGAGGACATCATAGCAAGTTTACGAGACCGTATCTCGACTGTCGTTGAACGATCGTCTAATCCGCAACTCCACGAACTAATGGAGAAGTAAATGTCGCTCATTGTTGGCAGGAATGTGCGTCTGCGTGCTACTTCCGTACGCAGACCCAAGTCCTACACGTCCCACGTTATTTTAAACATGATCTCGGTATCACTATTCAGGTATGCCAGAATATCCCCACATCTCATGCGATTGGCTTCCGATGGCTCGGCCAGTCTCGAGAACGGAATTCTCAATTTAATATCGAAGAGATCGCACGTAAGTGTGTTTTTTCCCAACGAGTTTCGGTTAGGGGGGAATTAGGTTCTCCAGTGTACGAAGAAAATGGAAGATCTTGGGGAATCTCTCCGGCTCATCCAAGAGCTCCAGGGAGTGAATCTTCTAGATACAGAAGCAGCGAGACGTGAGTTCCATGGCTCTCGAATTAAGGGACATGATACTCTCAGTCGATCGGGAGTCTGCTAAGGCCCAGGCCGGATTGTCGGCTCTCCAGAGTCGGCTAAGTAGAATCAGAGTTCGTCAAACAGAGTTGGAGAGGGAAGCCCGCAGATTGTTGAGTAGTAGTGAGAGTCACCAAGTGACGGACGGGAAGGATGCATGATAGTTTATTGCTATTTCATTATATGCCAATACTGTTGCGTATCCATTCAAACGCGACTGCATAGCCTAAGTGATGATATCCTAGCCATGCTTTCACACCACCCTAGCCAAGCGGCGACGGCTTTGGACTTCATTAAAGCCGGCTGCGTCCACACGTATAAACGCTTCTTCGGTCCCTCTCGTGAAGTGGAGGGGATGTAAGCATGTCCTTTCGAGAGATGGCTCTGAAATGGTGAAGTGAAGTGTCACTTTAATATCAGTCCGTCGTTGTCAACCGCCGAGTGGACACTATCAACACTTGTTAATAACAAGTTCTCAAGGGCATACATAGATGCTCAATAAGAAGTTGTTAAGATGCCGGATTCGGTTTCCACGCCTTACCGGATATTTCATTTAAATTACGAGTCAACCTCCTGGTACGATATAGGGCCATAGACGCCTCCAGATTGTAATGACACTCATCAGTGAGCTCCTCTCCTGCTCACCAACACGCTTTGGCAGCCTCGCTTGAGCAAGCACCATTAGGCGAACTGCATATCCACTATAGCGTATTTATTTCTTTGTAATAAACACCACAGAGAAGTATGTTGAACAAGTGGCCGCGGGCGACATCCACAAGGAAGTTAGAGGCTCGGGAAGGCAGAACAAATATCATAAGTTCCCACTTGTATGGTCATACAAGAGGCGAGTTAAACACAATGGCACAAAAGCTCCACTGAGATCTTAGAGGGACTCCGGTTGGGCACTGCAAATGTATCACAAAAAATTTAGAGGTAATCATACAGAATAGTTCGCTGTTACACGGACGGATCAGTGGGAAGCTTACAGCCAGTTGATGATGATTGTTATGTCGTCTACTACTTTACCGTGTTCTTCTCTTATCCACCGCATCCAAGCCTCCTGGGCCAAGACTTCTGCTGCCGTCTGTGCTTCACTGGGTTTGTATTTATCTAATTTGGATCTATACTACGATGAGCTGGAGGAGCGGTCATCACTTATAATATTAACGGCCTCTTGACTGGATATGAACTCCCATACGCCGTCACTTGCTATGATGATAAACTTATCAGCGCTATCGTTGATATTCCTGAGAGTCAATCAAGTCCAGAGCAGAGAACCTTACCTACCGCTGAGAAACCTCGGGAATGTGCGAGATCCCCGCCGTAACACCAACACTGTCTCCTATGGACCTGGCCATAGCCAGGCCGGGATAGTGAGCATCTGAACATCTATTCAGCCGAGCAGGTGTAGATGAATGCCCTACTTTTGACGAAAACCCTGTAGGGTATATCATTGCCGAGCTTGAGTACCCTACCGCCTTGTGACTCAATGCGAGCCTTCTCGTCGGGTAGTTCTGGTTTGTGGTCCCGGGATAGATCTACTGCAACGAGGCGACCATCGGTCTGAAAGCTCATAGTAGTAGGGCTCGAGAAGGAGGAGCTCACCTTCAGAGTGGCCAGCACGGCTCGTGAGTCGCCAACCCATGCACAGTTGAGGGAGGCATTCCGCAGTAGAACGATGGTTGCGGTCGAGCCGGAGAAAGCGCAGTCAAATTGGTCTTGAGAGTCCGAGGCGCGCTCGCACATGACTAAGGGAGCACGAATTGGTGAGAACAGTTCTTATTATTTTCATTACTACCATGGGCCCGGATAAAAGCCGTTTTAAATGCCTTGGGCAAGTCTTCCTGGAAGTTGGGATCATCACGGATGAACTGACAAAGACTAATAGCAAGGGAGGACTATATCAAGTCCAGAATCGTACTTCTGGTAAGATCTTGTGACACAGTTTAGACACAACATGACCGTATGGGCCGTGACCATCAAAGACAGCATACCTAGATAGACGACCTCTCGAAAGAAGTAGATGAGGAAAGCATTATATCACATCTCATAATCGTCCGTGACGAGGATCGCGAAATCGTCCTGGTTGGGCATGTCCGGTTTCAGTCCTTTTTTACACACATAGCCCATCGTTCTAGGGACCGTCGCCCCTTGTTGCTTACAGGTCTTATCCTAACAGTGAAGAGGGTATACGGATCCTTAGGGCAGTGACCCTAGTACTTCAAATCCTTTCTGTTGGGTAGGCTGGTCCTCCACAGCTTGGCTAGTTATTGACAACCTTCTGGGTGATCCAGATCCTGTCACTATTCTCCCTGAGCAGCATCACTAGCATGGGAAACCAGGTGAAGAGGCTACTACCCCGCTGACGAGTTTCATCAACCTCGGAACTTGCTGCCACTTCCAAGCCCACATCAGTGCTCTGGCTCATTGACAACCTACGTCTGCGTTTATCCCTACATATCAAGGATGAATTCTCCACAGGGGAAGTGGATGGATCGAAGGCCTCAGTGTTCACGGTGTTGGACTTTCCGCGGGAGCACCAAGAACCCATGTGCTGATATAAAATCTACAAAAACAGTTTTAGTTTTTTTCAAATGCTCGTAGACCGATTCTGACCACCCTAACTGACGAAGCGAATCCAAGTTGCATTTTCACAGCCTCAATTTCGCCGATATAAACGGCAGAAACCTCTGATTGATCCCACTAAGGGCGCTCTAAGACCCTCAAATGGGCCCCACTATGTCAACTCAACAAATTTATTTTTATCACCCGGAAACGTTCACCGCAATGATTTTCATAACTTATGACACACAAGTGTGAACGTTCAGTACACATCGTGTTAATTTCCAAGAGTATCGGAATACGACGAGTGGTTGGGGTCCAATAATGAATCTCTGCAGGGCGTTATGGTTCAGTGAGCGTATCATCACGGTAAAGGTAGGCAATCTGAGTAAATCAGCAGTTCCTATCCAGGAAGCTATAATGTTCCCGGGGAGAACTCATTTTGAGCTTTCCACGTATGGCTAGGGATGCATTCTTCAATCAGTTTCCCATGTAAATGTCATCATCACATGAGGAACATTTCCCTCGTTATTATCAAACCCTGGGGAACGTTCTCTCCCAAAGCCAGATGGGCCCCTGGTTCATACTGGGTTAGAAAAGTGTACATCTTTTGAAGGCATATACTTAGGTCAATTCCTCTGTGGCTTCGAGTACATCCGCTGGCACAATGAGTTCTTCACGAACAGGGGATGAGAAGCGACCAGTTCCTCTGTCCTTATCAAACGAGCAATACCTGGTACAAGGTGAACCACGTCTTCCTGATCGAAGTTCAACAGACTTTCGCAACTGAAGTCCATCATACTCACCCTTGAAACCATTGAGATCTAATGTGAGTTTTTAAGAACAGTATTACTTAGTTCGTTTCACTGACTCACGTTCTTAAGGACCTATTTCAAAATTCTCTTTAAAGAAGCATTCACGAGCTCCTTACGCATGAGATTGCCAAATTTACTCTAAACCGTTTTCAAAATTATCCTCGAAGAACCTCATGAAAAGTTACTTGGAATCTTCCACCGCAATTAGTCTAGAAACTATAAATCTAAAAGAACTTACTTGGAAATCTCAAGCTGAGAATACGGTGAGGCCCAACTCATGGGCCTGTTCAACACAACATGATGAAGTATGTAGAGGATCTACGCCAGTACTTGGGTCTGCGTACGAAAACAGCACGCAGACGCACAGGACCTTATCCTGCCGAGGTTAACTCGCTAAAATACAAGAAATTCATCGTAACCCTGTGTTGAAGTGAATAATTGCGTTTCCAAACCACGTGAGCACGATTCCCGGTGGATGCAATTCTACAGTCTTTTTCTCGACTGATTTTCGTTCTAATTAAACTCTACATTCGTCCACCGGTCCATCTTACTAGGGAGAGGGACGGGGAGACCTTTGGCACCCTTTGTCGAACGCTCGGGTACCCTATTGCGTTTTGCTCAGTGCAAAGCTAAGATCTCACTTGGCCTCGTTTTCAAGGTTAGGTCCCTCACACTGGATGCTGAAGTACTGTGTGTGTCGGCTCAAAGTCCAACGTCATCGCGGGTTGGTTAGACTGAGGGACTTTCTTGGAGTTTCTTAAGTTTGTGAGGTGATGATTCTAGCCTTAAGATTCGCCAAACTTAGGGGATAAGTGAACGAGGCTCTGAATTTGACAACGATAGTATAATCGATTCCACTATTAGAACGATCAAAATACAAAGAGATAAACGGCAACCGCTAGCTGACTAGTCTCATCAAGTTGAGCCAGGATCATTCACAATTCTATACCTGCCGTACGGTTCGATTCGGTGAGTCGAGTCCCAACGCCTATAGATGGGAATGTTCCTGGTGTGAAAAATTCTCGTTCCCTCAGCATGCTAGATCGAATGACGACTAAAAGCGTGTCCTCAAAGTCTTCGCAGTTTGAAAGCGCTCTCCCTGGCTTACAACGAGATGTAATAGGATAACATTGATGATGATGACCTTGCACATTGTGGAGTGCGTATTGGTCTTGTCAATTCGTGGCAATTTCTCATTCCTATTGCCGTTTGAAGAAGTCTTCCCGTTCCTACTAGCATTTAGACTCGATGAAGTGACGGATTCTTGGTGCTGTCTTTTCAGACGTGTAGAGTCTAAGGTCAGGGAGAGAACTCGTGAGAGTATCGGCCAATGGCTTCAAGTCGTCGAAGCGGCTGGACTTGAGCGGGAACTAATTAAAGGATGTAGTAAAGCGGAGAATCGAACAGGTAGTCTTGGGAGTATTAGACCTGTAACCTACCCGAGCGGGATGATTTTCTCGCAGTGCCGGAGATACTCTATCATGGAGCAGGGCCGACAAGGTCTACCCTCGGGACTATACACCTTTTCAATCTCAAATTCAGCAAGTGAAAGAACAAGTTAGATAAATGAAATTTGATTTTCGACGAGTGAAAGGAGTTTTTCACGAAATGAAAGTTCAAATTCGAAATGAAAGTTCGATTTTCGTAGACCGGTCGAAAACGAAAGTTCAAATTCGTCGAACACAAGACTAATTTCGACCAATGAAAGCTCACTTTCATTGAAAAGGTGTAGAAGTATCCAAACCTTTGAGATTGATCCCGCTACTATGGAAGCGACAATTTGTTGTTCCCAAAACCAGCCTGTCTCAGGCAAGGGGGAATTATTACACCCGTGTCGGTGGATTTTTTGGATATGCGATTGGTGCAGGGGGGGGGGGTTTGCTGCAGGGGGGGGGATTGCTGCAGCTTGGCTAATGCTAGGAAAGGGCAGATGGCCTCGATTACATCGTGGCTTGAATTCTACGGGGTGGGTAAGCATCGGAGAGCTTTTGGACTCGACGTAGGCTGATCAGCATCTGGATTTCGTGCTGAAAGGAGGACGGAGGAGGTTGTCAGGATAGGGAAATATGTGGTTATGCTGTAGTATTTGGGGAGCTCGAGCGGGATGGTGGCTATTGGTCTCCTCAACAACTGTGGTTATGAACGTCATGTGTTCATAGAAGGGTCCATGGGAGAAACCTTTCTGTGGAAGGGAGATCGCCGTCCCCTTTGCCTCGTCCGAGAGCATACAGCGTGTATTGAACGAGACGTTGTAGGCGAATTTTGATGTGCTCCTCGAACCTTGAGGTTTAGACAGCTTCTTGTATAGAAGTAGTAGCATGTCTGTAGTCAGAGGCGGCTCGACTAGCGCGAGTGAGTGTTGAAATTGGTTGTTCAAAGCAGTAGACTGTCCTCGGGTGAGAGAGCTAACGGCTTCGAGCGGAATCCATGTGAAGACTGAATCACTTGATCCTTTCTAAGCTCCATGCTTAGCCTTGACTGCTCACGGAAGTGGATAGTGAGCTCGTCGGGAGGCCTCAGCTGACGCTCTCGAGCCCATTGGAGAGTATTCCAGAACTGAGTGCTATCTTGGTGATCACTTCGGCCGGCCTTCGCGTCGTACCGCAAGGAGACATGAATGAACGTTTTATACTTCATCAGGAGCTCAGATGAAGTCATTTTCCTGTGTTCAATCTATGCCTTGACCTCGTTCCGTTATCGCATAAGGGCATTGGGAGCAACAGTAGTAGTATTGGTAATGGTAGTTGATTCTCTCTTGTTGCAGACATTGTATGATATCCCTTCCCCTCTTCTCAAGAGAGAGCTTTAAGACGTTATGGAAGCCTTTGGTCCCCCTTCTCGTTATTGCATCGCTCCTGGTATTCCTACTGGTCGAATTGAAGCATAAGCATGCGTGGTCGGGACTACTCCCATCCTTTAGGGAAGTAAGAGGCATTGCTTAGCTCAGGTGTCTGGGTGGTGGTTATCAATGTGGGTAAATAATATGTGTCGGCGACAAAATAAAAAATTTGAGGAGATTTTTGGGAAATTCTTGTTGTTTTCTGTACACTTTTACATGGAGTCGTATACGAACTCTTATAATTAGTGAGGAAACTCCTGAGCTCAGCTGAGGAAAGCGAACAGACATTTCCAACACTGGTGGTTGTCACCTTAGGTGATAGAATATTTACAGTCCCTCTCGAGCCAGGACACCAGTTGTATAAAGGAATACAGTCTTATCGGAGGTGATTTTCGTCACTGCTGTGGTAGCGTAACAACTTTTTTGTTGTTGTTCAGTTATAGTTTTCCTATCGACTGTTTGTGGTATACCAATATCGGCCGTGGAAGTGACAGGAGGGATTCTCCTGAAATGGTATACTCTGACTACTCGTCATGTGCGTCTCTATGATGGTGGTCGCGGTCCTCAGGCGTGCGCTCCTGGTGGCGTTCCCAGCTAAGACCATGGGCTGTGCAGTATCCTTCCTTATGGGAAGGTATTTCTGGTGAGTCTTGGCTGCTACTGATGGGAGACTCCGTGACGACAGTGACACTCTTAGGTTTGATTTCGTGCGTTCTGCGTTGGACAAGAGCGACTACTATCACGCGTTACAAATTCTCACGGAGAAATCGGAGTTGAAGTTCCTCTTCTTGTCCAGGTTTATGTATGTGAGTGGAGACTGCTGTTATCATACTGTTGTTATGATCCCCGATCTCAGGTGCCGATTTGGGTGAAGAATTATGGCGCTTCTGTAACGGCAGTATCCTTCCAAGGGTTCCTCATAGCCTCTACAACAGTCGGCTTCCTCTTCTCGGTACTCTTCGTATACGTCGGGGTCACAACGAGCAGCATACTAGGAGCGATGTCTACAGGGGTAAGCGTTGAGAAATCGCAAGATAGCAAGATTCATGTTTTTGCCAGTCTGAAAGTACGAACCCTGTTACACTGGCACTCATGATAGTTGGTATCATATGCCTTACCGTTGGTATGACGTGGTTATGCATTGAAGTTAGGCGGAAAGTAAGGACTTTTCTGGCATTGCTGAGGCCACTGGTGTGTTCCCTAGATCCGCCAGTTGCACGAATTAGAAGTTGACGAGTCAGCCACTCGGCTGCTAGCCTCTTCACTGGATGAGGACTATGCACCACCGAGAGCTGCTGCTACTGCTGCAATCATCGACGGGATAGTGCCTTCCGTTGCCTGTCCTCAATGCTTTATAAGCTGTAGTAGTAGAAGTGCAGCTACAACGGCTGCCACTATGACGACTTGCCGTTTATGACACTAACTGTTTGCATTTCTTGAGAGCAATAAATTGCTCGTTCGTTAAGTTAGTCGAACGGTTGTGTTATACAGTCGGGAGGGATCGGGACCGCTCCTGTCCATCATGCAGGGGCTATGTCATGTCACTTCTACCTATTTTCGACAAGAGTTTACACGAGTTTTGGACGAGCGATGGCAATTGATTAAGTTCTGGTTTTCTTGGGGCTTTAGGGCGAATCGTTGAGGTCCGAGGTTCGTGAGAAATGATCAGTGTGTTAGGTAGGAAAGGTGTGATCGTTGGAGAAGTCCGAGGTCACTATTCGAGGCGATTCAATGGAGATTAAAGTTCTGAGCTAGGCGGAACACGAGAGTCCCTCGAACATGAGGCGGGATGATTTTTTGGGCGCAAGGTGTGATGGAGTCTCTAGAGGAAGGCAACGTTGAAGTTGATGGAGAATGTTGGGGAACTCCACCCGACAGATGGAAGTGCTGAGATCAGTCAAGTGACTCTGCGAATACCGACCCTCTCGTGCTCGGAGGCAATGCATTTTATTCATCAGGTGAATTTCATCGAACGGGAAGATTTTCACATGGGATTGGTCGGGGCTCTCTTCCTGAGGGCATATAGTGGTGATCACCTCTAGTCACAGTTGTTGAGTCCATGTCAGCTCCTATACAATACTGTCCTAATTGCACTAAGTTCACTCAGCTACTACCACAAGAATTCACACGCCCTCTTGAGACGGTCCCGGCTACGGTGTTAGAGGTTCCGAAAACGAAGGCATCGGTTATCATGAAAACGCTGTCGCGGAGGAGTCCTTTGCCGTCTACCATGTCTCATCTCAAGCGGGTGCGGCGGCATGCAGATAAGGAAGGAATTTTGGAAGTGGTCGTTGGCCCACAGCACTGCGAAGTTCCCTTTGAAGATCTCGACGTGCGACTGGTTGACGTGCCCAAGTACCCAGCTTTTACACGGGAACAGTTTCAAGAGTGGAACCAAGTGTGGCCGATGGTCTGGCGGCGACCAGCTCTAGAGAGGAGCGACACGAAACTCAACAACCCGGGCAACAGCCGGCGGAAGGAAATCCTGCACATGATGGAAGCAGCTGGTGGGTCGCCTTGACTGATGAGGCTACTTGAGTGGTCACAGTGTTGGCAGGTCGGAAAAAAGTGATCATAGTGTCACCGAATGGCGACGTCATTTCCGAGGCTGAGGCTGATGATAGGCATCCATTGAGACATGCTTGTATGGAAGCTATTAATGAGGTAGGGACAACATGTGGGGCTCGGTGTGCCTTTCCTGGGATCATTGGTTGTTCAGGTGGCTGCAGCAGCGACTCCCCTCCCTGCAGTTCATAGTGGTAAACGACCGCGCTCGCCCGAGGGGTCTGCTGATGGAACTCTGTCGGACATCGAGAGATCGAGCTATCTTTGCACTGGTTGCAGCGTCTTCCTTTTCACAGAGCCCTGCATTATGTGTGCTATGGCTCTATTGCATTCCCGAGTTGCGGAGGTATATTTCTCTAGCGGAGCGAAGTGTGCCGGCTTTGGTGGTTTTCTCGACCTCGACCCTCCATTGCATATCAATCATCGACTCAACCACACGTTTACTGTCATGCAGGTCACCAACAAGGGGTGCTGCGAACTGTGTGCCTCACTCCCCTCGAAAAATTGATTCCATTTCCAACTGCCATACGTTACTTCCCATTCTGCTGTTGCGTTCCCGAGTTCCATCGACGATGATCGTTCACAGTCGGGAAAAGCACGTGGGGTGAACCGCTTCGGTATGATCGTTCGCTGATCTCACGGCTGAGTTATTTTTATACCCAAGTCAGGATTATTCGAGTCTTTGGAAGCGCGGCTGAAATCAGACGAGCAATGTGTGGAAATTAGCTGTGACGAATTCGAAATGACACCAACCCGTGACATAGTGTGAGGAGTCCTCAGTGAGGACAGTCCCCCTAGCTCAGCAATATCTTCCTAGCATCTTGATGCATTACATACCCTCTTAGTCGTGCTGAGATAGGCTTATCATATCGACGATACATTCACAGTCGAGCTCCTTGTGCCGGAGGCCATGGTGGCTCGTTTCTTCACACTATTCACCTCGCCAGGGCTTTCATAACAGCGTCCTGTCAGGCGGTATCCGGTGGTCATTCCGATCGGTCGCAGAAGTGTCGCCCTAACGAGATGGAGTGGCTGACCTCATTGATCAAGGTGTACCCTTGTCGGCATTGTGCTGATAGTTTCGTCGGCAATTGCTGCGAGACGCCACCCGAAGTGAGTTGCTGCGCTCGTCTAGTTCCACCGTTCAACCTTTGTTACTGATGAACAATCGTTACTCTTCCCCGAGTATCATACTAGAGGAAGAATAATAGTTATTCTTTGGGGGAAGATTCGTGATTATTCGAGTCCTTGCCGTGTGCTGAAGCGCCACTCTCTGCAGCCTCACTGCTGACGGATGAACTCCAAAACTTTTGCGTTCGTAGATGTGATGAATGGGGATCGGCATGAGTTGGCTCTCCGACTCATACTACTCACCGGTTGGATTCCGATTCTGAGGCGGCTTGCGTACTCATCATCAGTGATGCATCATTATAGTAGCTAACTCCCTATTTCATACAACTCAAAGACCTCGCATCAGGCCGCCTGATTCAGGCGCTGTCCAGCTTCACCTCACAATGAGGGCCTTGACTCTCACCCTATTATATGGGAATATGGGGCGATGGGCAGAGGCAGAGGTGAAAGAATGGACATAAAAATGGAAAAATAGACAGACATGGACTCATTTGCTTTTCAGATAATGAAACCTCTAAAGACATACTCCAACCACCTTCTTATAACGAGGTAAACCATAGTTGGGAGCCGGATCACATTCCGATAACAGCAGAAAAGTGAATGATGCCTAGGTCGAGTCGACCTAATAGGTATCTCATACCTTCACGGCGACTTCACCAGGGTCACAAGTTGGCCACCCACTGATGTGCCAATAGTATTGGTTTTACCATGATATATAAAGCGCTCGAGGTCATGTATTTTCAATAAGCCCGGACACTTCTTGCGAGCAACTGACATGTAGAGTCGGTATCTCACCACGCTACGCTGAGATAACTTGAAGACAAAGTGAGTCGCATCAAGGGGCAGGGCCCCTGACTTAGCTCCGCCTGGAGTCCGCGCACAACTGACTCGCAGAGTGACCTTTTCTTGCGCGGGCGGATCTGTTTTAAAAGTTGCTGACACAGTTAGATCGCCAGACATTTGCTTGGAGTACTCGCCGCTCGGTGGAGGAAACTTAGCATCAGACTGGGTAGCCAGCAGAGCAATAATAACAATATGAGGCAGGACCAGGACCATGAGGATCGTATTGGCTTTGTTGAGAGGGACGGACTTCGATGCTACACCAACACAGGCGAGAGAAGATAACTAACAGGGGAGAAAAGTCATCTCGGGATTGTAAAGTCCTCGCTATTCGTGGGGTTCGGCTCATCGTTGGTCATGCGGCCAATCATCCAACTTGACCTCAGTAACGCGTCACCGAATATGTGGCGCTTCACGTGTCTTTTACCCGGTTATGCGTGTATCGTAACAGGTAGCGTGTTTCCACTCTGTTGCGTATGGAGGTACCGCTACGATGATATAAACAGCCGCCTCCAACCGTGATCGTGTCTGTCGGTGATCGCGTCTGTCTTGACTCCTGCATTTTCTAATATTTGGTTTATTCGTGTATGGCTGGGGCGCCACGGTGGCGCCCCAGGCGCTTCTGGCGCTGTTGGCGCCACCAACATCGCTGGCCATCTACTCCGTGATCGCCGCTAGGGCTGTAGCGAAGTCACGTAGCGATCTTGCTCACCTTCTAGCTACGTATCCTTACCTTGCCCAAAGTAACCCGAAGTATTTCGGGCAGTGCCCAGCCCTTTCCGAGGAACATCCTACTAAGGTTGCTATCAGATGTGGATCTAGCGGCTTGCTCGAATAGTCCGGAAACAGAAGCTGGCAACCTACTCCGTAGTGTCGCACTACTTATCCTCAACACTTTGGCGAGTTTCTCCGCAACACTCGCGAGCTTATATCTGCCTACTCGAGCCCCCTCGCTGGAGCCGGCCATAAACTCCGTAACCGCCACTAGAACTGCCATGTACTTCCCCCTGACTGGAGGTGAAGAGTCTAGTCTTTGGATCACAGACTTGATCATGTCTGACTTTATATAAGGGTGGCTCACACCCAATCATCACAACAGAGCAGGCCCCCTAAGCGAGGGGTGCGAGGCGACAGTCCCCAGCCTTGCCGTCCAAAGACACGGCAGTCGTCCCCCCTGCACTCATGGACTTGATCATCGATGAAGTGCTCCTCCATCCCAGACATGCTTTGACGCAACTTGATGGTCCTTCAGGAAGACTCCTCCTCGTCTGGCCTGCAGCAGAAGGCTTCTGCCGGAAACATGATGGTTCGATATGAGGAATCCAATCACACCAGAGCAGACATCTGCGAAAGTCACCCAAATTTTGCTAGGGCAATATCGTCGTTGAAGTAGATGGTAATACCATCTACGTCAACGACGATATTAATACTGTCACGGCATTCAGAAGCCATTTAGTAGCCATCTGGCTCAAGTTACCTGTTATAATATGACCGCGAATTCTTCGCACGGCGGAGGAAGCGGTAGGATTCACCTGTGTCAAGACCCCTGCAACAACGGATCATTGAAACGATCCGAGAAGAAGAACCAATGCGACGACATAGATCAGCCGATGCACGGGTCGTCCCCGAGCACCGGCCAGGTAGGGCTGGGGAAGGTAAATTGTACACATAGTATAGGAGAGGCCCTACTAGGGCCGCCCTAGTGGCTGCCTGGGACTCGACGGAGGGACCTCCGCAAGAGTCTCCGCAAATCACTGTTGCAATGCCTGACGCCATCATGCGGGCAATTGGAGACGGCGAACGTGCTGCCAGTGGCGATGAAGTGCCCCCTCCGCCCTTCGGCAGGAGGCCAAAGGACACCGCATTTCAAACAACTCCCCCTCGTGTGGTTGGAGGGAAAACCCTGAGATCCCAACTCTCCCCGAGTTTAGAGTAGGCCCTACGCGACTCGAGAAAGCAAAAGAGCTATTGGGCGGATACGTCCCCAGATATCGAAAAGCTGGTGGAGTTACAAGATACACTGAAGAGACTAGATGAAGAAGATCCATCAGCTATGGATGTCGACGAACTTCTTGCAACTTTGAACTCAGCTGTAGGCCTCCTCACTGAGTCGTACATGGTGTAGAGTAAAGGATGGTCGATCACAACAGACCACGCCAGCTCCATTATAGAGCGGCTCCCTTTTCGTCGCGCATGCGTGCTTGTGCACGCGTACTCATGCTCATCAGATCGATCTCGCTATGGCCGGATGGCCCCTTTTTACGACGATTCAAGTTCTTAGGATGAGGGTTAAGTTTATATAAGAGATCATGAGACTGAGTAGTTCTTCTTTTGAGTCCAAATGGCACTTCCGAGTAGTGTTAGTCAACGAGGGGCTCCCGCTAATCCCACATCTGGCTCCGATGCGGGGACGCCCCCAATGTTTTGCGACATCTTTGTTCTCGAGGAGAGTGCCCCCGACGAAGCTCAAGTCCTTGACGCCCTTGGGGCCTCCCCGGACACCGATAAGTTGTCTGACATCGTTCTTGACTGCCTAGAGAAGGCCATTGTATCTGGCCAGCCATCTGAACTACAATCTGTCGTAGACCAGCTATCCCACCATGTTCTGGTCTCTCTGGTGGACTCCATCCCTGAAGCCGTCAAGCTTTATCTAGTTGACATAGCCCACGACGAGATCACGGACTACGTTCAAAAGCGCATTGGGGACGCCTGCGAGATAGCCTCGGCTGGGCTGGTGCCCTCCGAGACCACCAAGAAGCTGGTGGAGCATCTCCCCCCTATGGTGTTGCATACTGTCCTCCAGTCTGAGGTCATCGCCGGATTCCCCTCGGCGAAGGCTTTGGCGACCCACTGCCGGCGCAAGAATCTTTCCTCTCTTTTGGAACTCAAGAGTTCCGAGAGTAGCCCCTTCAGTCCTGACTGGGGAGCCCGGCTGGTTCAGCAAAAGCGAATGTCCTCCACCAGCAGTAATGAACAGCCAGTCTCCGGTTCGCCACGGTTCTCGGCGCCCCTTATGGGTGGGCTTCAACCCCTAGTCGCCTCGAGTCACGACGATATCTCAAGATCGCGTGGAAGACACTCGATCTCCCCATCTCGCGCGGTCTTCAGTGGTCTATCCTCCCAAATGGGTCCCTCAGGGTCAGCTCGTGAAAGTCATGTGATCCTGAGACCGAACCCAGGAGCATCAAGTCAAGACAGGCGCAGGGTTGCCTCGAAAGACGCTGACAAGGCTGCGGCCGCTTTCAAGGGAGGTCCCTTCAAAGGCGTGTCAGACGCACGAGGTCTCTCCGGCTTTTGGAGACAAGTGGACCGTATGGTCTTGCGACGAGGTTGGCTTACCCGAGGGGCTGAGCATTACTTCCTTCTGACTAACTTAGTCGACGAATCGGCCTTAGAACAGGCTATTGCCGACAGGGACCCTATTACGGCTGACGACTTCGCACTGGCCGTTGACGCGATCCACTCGACTTTGAAGGAGGAGTGTGGCGGTCACTTTGAGGCGGAGAAGCTCCTGACTGAGCCTACGGGGCGCGGCCCACAAGAACCTTTGACTGATTACATTGGAAGGCTCGATGACTGGCTACGACGTTGCTCACTCGCAGGGACTCCGCTCACTGACGCCCTTATTATCCGCGCCTTTCGCCGTGGTGTAAATGATGAGAACTGCCAGGAGGCCTCCTATGAGTATCCCGGGACATGGTCACGCTTTCGAGTCAAGGCTCTCACTCGCGCCGCTAGAGCCGATGCTGACCGGGCGAGTAAGCCCCGCAACCCGCCGAAAGCAATCGCCCCGACTGCAGCCGGTGACAGGGGGGCACCCTACGCCAGACCTGCGTCATCAGCAACGCCAACTTCCTCCTATAAAAAGGCGAGCTTTGCCGGAACTCACTGAGAGGCAAATGTACAAAGGGAGAGCGGTGCCCTTTCAGACACCTAGGCCCTACAGAGTGTCGCCGATGGGCGGCTGAAGGGCGTTGTCGGTTTGGTAGCGCATGTAAGTTTCGCCACGACCGTACGGATGACAAAGCCACCTCAAAGGGTGGTGGCCACGGACGTTCCCAAGCCTCTTCCTCACAGTCTCTCCAAGCAATAGCACCCGATGGGGACCCGGAAGAGTCCGCTCTATCTCGATCCTCAGAGGTTGAGGAAGAGCAGTTACAGATGCTTTGGGTGGTCAAACAGTCGTCCGAGTCCTGTCAGCACAGGCAACTCGGGCCGATGCTGACCTTATATCCCAAGGGACAGGCACCTCTCAAAGCCCTACTAGACTCGGGCGCTGTGAGGAATTACGTTGGCCGTGACCTGGCCACGCTCAGGGGGTGGACCATCACGCCATGTTCGACTTCCGCGAAGCTCGCGAACGGGTCTGTGGTGAAGCTGGATGGCACGGTCCAGGTCAAGGTTACTCGGCACGGGAAGGAGCACTTATTGAACTTCTCTGTGCTTCCCGGACGGGGGTCTCCGAACGGAGTCGATGGCTCAACTTGCATACTGGGAGTCCAGTCCATGTGCGCGCTTAAGATTTCTATGTACTTTGACGAGGTGGACGGAAGCCGCCAGGTGACGATTCGCAGCCCCGCCCAGCGCCAGGGGGAGCTTGCCCCGGCAAGGCTGGAGGAGGAGGGTCGTCTCCACTTCGTGGTTCTCGAGAACGAGGACCTATCAGTAATGGTCGTTGAGGATAGCGACAATTTGGTTCTGCGGTGCGAGGAGCTCTCCAATGAGACTTTGCTTGATGCCCCTTCGACCTATCGCACACGCTCTACGCTTCCGAACAGTTCCGCTCGGCTCACCGAAAACTGGCGCCAGGTCAAGGCAGCACCGGACTATTCTATTAAGATTGCTTGCCGAGTCAGAGACGAAGGACTGCCCAGAGCACACACACGCGGTGGAGGTCCGCTGGACATCATCCCCACTCGTTCGGCAAGGACCGGTTTATGACTACTCGAAAAGCCTTTTCGCGGCACTCGACTCCCCCCAGCAGAAGTCGTACCATGAAGAGCTGGAGCGGTTTCAGTCCCGGGGATGGTGGGAACCTCTGCACGAAGACGGGGTTGACGGCAAGGGTGGGGTCGCCCTACCCGAGGCCATTGCCTTTCCAGTGGTACAAGGTGTGAAAGTCAGGCCATGCATTGATTTGCGCCGGGGAAATGCTATCTCGCCGCCAAGTTCTTATCCAGGCGACTCTTGCGCGGTCATCCTTGCCCAAGTCCGTGTTGCCATTGCGGCGATCGCCCGAGCGGCGAGACAGAGGCAAAAGGAAGGGGCCAAGCCAGAGCGCTTATCCTTTTGTACCCTGGACGCGGCGACCGCCTTCTATAGAATCACGCTCCATGACCGCACCGCTGTGATCAGGTCGCTCGGTCGCCGGTTTGTGGCACGTCGACTGGTATTTGGGCTTCGCTGTGGTCCAGCAGTGCTACGCGAAGCACTCACATGTTTGATCGATGACGCCATGCTGCGCGTGAGTTCCGAAATCAACGATCCTCTGCTACTCCACTGGGAGTATGTGGATGATATCTGCCTACTTGGCGGACACCAGGCCGTCCAGCGCCTCAAGTCGGAGATCATCTGCTTGGGTGGCTCATGGGGGTTTGAGTTCACCCCTGCGAAGTGTCATTTACTGACGTTCTCTTCGGAAGGGCAGGTTGAGAGATTCGACTCCTTCCGCCACCTTGGCGTCGACTTTACGTATCGTGAAGACCACCCAACCGGTCAAGGGACCCTAGTTCTTCGGTGCGTTACCGCCTCCGAGCCGCACTCTCAGACCTTCAGAGAGGGCCAAAGAGTTTGCAAGCGTTCCCTGTTCCGAGCGGCTGGTGCCGCCTTTGATCCTCTCGGTCTTCACGGCGACAGGGGCCTGGCAGCCGACTATATACGGAGAGTATCTGGTAAGTGGAAAGCAGGCTGGGACCAAGATGTTCCTCTGGGGAAGGACGAGGCTAAGACGCTAACAATCGCTATCGGCATCCTCAGCGCTCGTTCGAGAGATTGTGACCATGAGGTCAGCTTTGTGGCGGACACCCTGGAGGTCGCCTGTGATGCCAGTCCCTTTGGCATTGGATTTATCGCCACGCTGTCTAGCGGAAGTTCGTCTCGTGTGGCGCTCTCCAGCAGAGCCAGAGCCCTGCGCGGACCGATGCTCAACTGGCACCAAAACCGTAAAGAGGCTTACGGACTGGCAGCAGCGCACGTGTTCGCCGACGCGTTGGTTCCTCATCTTAATGGCCTGGGTCTGAAGTTTCTCTCCGACTCACGAACCGCGCTTTCATGGTTACGAGGTGGCTCGAAGCTCACATGCAAGTCGGTCGAGCGTCTCGCAATATCTCGGCTCTGCGAAGCTATCGCCGATGTGCGCGAGGCCTGGCAACGGAAGTACATGTTGACCCCCGAGCTGTTGCATATCCCTGCGGAGCAGAACTCCGAGTCGGACAGCCTCAGCAGGCTCGCTTTTTCCTGGGGTATCCCCGACAGTATCATCTTCGAAGGTCGCGGTGTGATGCACACCAAAGCGGTCGCGGTTTTTGATGAAGACGGCGGCTCAGGCTCCTCTGAAGATTATCCTACCGTATGTGAAGTTGAGAATCAGCTAAGGGTCATTGCAACAGTCCATCCAGCATCGCAAGGCGTCCTGGAGTTCGGTATGGAGCATGGAAGACCATCCAGGCAGCGGCTCCTCGCTCTCCAGTGGGCTTCCCCGACGGCCAACTTTATACTCAGATCCCTCGGTTCATCCCCACCACCGGACGTTGCCCCGGTAGGGCCCGCTACAGCCCCGATACCGGGAGTGGCGGCAGAACTTCCTGATTTCTCTTTGGCTGACGATGGTATTCTAATGAAGAGGTCCCAAACCCCGAAGGTGAACGGAGTCTCCGCGACTCGTACATGTTATTATGTTCCCACGGATACTTCCGAGGGAAAGCAGCACGCACATTCGATCGTCGATGCATACCATCGTGAAACTGGCTGCCTTAATCGTCGTTACATACGATGGTTGGTGTCCAGATGCTTTCATATACCTCGGCTCCGTTCCTTCATTGAGGTTGTGTGCGGCACCTGTGAAGGGTGTCGTTTGTCATTTAACAGGCGCTTTTATTCCACAACTGACTCAGCTCGCTCTCTTCGCACTGGCGTGCAGGAGTGTTGGTCTACGGTTTCAGCTGACCTTGCCGAGATGGGCTGGGATCGCAAGCGCAGACTTTGCGCGGTATTGGTGCTGACGTGCCATTTTAGCGGATTCACTGTGGTATCCCCTTTGAAGGATCAGAAAAGTGCCACAGTGGCGACCGAGATGGCTAGCCTCTTCGATTTATTGGGTGCTCCGGCCTTGCTTCGCACTGATGGAGGCCCGTGTTTCCGTGGACGTCCACTAGCTGAAATGCTCTCGCTAAGAGCAGTGGAGCATCGGGTGGTGTCGCCATATGCTCCTTTTTCAAACGGCTTAGCAGAGCGCGCTGTCGCCAGTGTCAAGTTCCTGGCGAGGCAGCTCGGTGATAAGAAGACCTGGCCAACAACGTTAGGGAAGGTTATCCGTCGGCTCAATTGTAAGCCTTTTTTGGACACTGACTTTTCACCTTTTGAGATATTCTACGGTCGTGTATCCCGGTTGAGCCCTGAGAATTCGCTTGCACAAGGGGCTGTTGACGGTGGTGCCCCCGTTGCTAGAGCAGAGGTCCGCGATGAAATTACCAAGCTCGTCAAAGCTGCTATCGCAGCTCGCGAGCAGGTCTTGAGCGATGTCCGTGGTCTCCGCAGGAAGGGACCGCCACCGGTCGGCTCAACTGTTGTTCTTTTCAACCCTGACACACTGGGACGCGGCGGTAGGTACGCTCCTGATGTGTACCGCGTGCATGAGATTGTACGCGGGGTTGTTCTAAGATTAGTTAATGCCTCGATCCCACCGGACGAGGTCACATCCCAATTGATTAAGGAAACTCATTATGCCAACGTTCGTCCTTGTAATCTTCCATCCGGGGGCATGTAGAGTAAAGGATGGTCGATCACAACAGACCACGCCAGCTCCATTATAGAGCGGCTCCCTTTTCGTCGCGCATGCGTGCTTGTGCACGCGTACTCATGCTCATCAGATCGATCTCGCTATGGCCGGATGGCCCCTTTTTACGACGATTCAAGTTCTTAGGATGAGACTGAGTAGTTCTTCTTCTGAGTCCAAATGGCACTTCCGAGTAGTGTTAGTCAACGAGGGGCTCCCGCTAATCCCACACATGGGTATCGGGGAGTCGACTTTCGGTGTGGTGGAGACAAAACTCAGGTGGCTTTCTACTGTGGCACAGTGAAGGGACGGACACAGTCGTTGGTCTGTGAAGGTGGGGCCTCCTAATGACAATGATACAGAGTCACCAACCGCTTCAGCGGCACCCATCCCAGCTAGGGACGAAGCCACCAATCCGCAATCTAGGATCTGGAAATCCTGGATGGATTTCATGGTAAAGGAACGGAGGAGGGTATCAGTGCTGTAGTAGGTGTGTGTCTTGGTCTCCTCAGCAACTGTGGTTGGCCACGTCATGGGTTCATAGAGGAGTCTATGGGAGGAACCTTTCTGTGGAAGGAGATCGCCACCCCCTTTCCCTTGCCCCAGGGCATACAGCGTATATTGAACGAGACGCTGTAGGTGGAAGTTGGTGTGCCCATCGAACATTGAGGTTTAGATGGTTTCTTGCTGTCGAAGGAGTAGCATGTCTGTAATCAGAGGCGGCTAGACTAGTGCGAGTGAGTTTTGAAATTGATTGTTCGGAGTAGCAGACTGTCCTCGGGCAAGAGAGCTGACGGCTCCGAGTGGAATCCATGTGAAGACTGAATCACTTGATCCTTTCTAAGCTCCATGCTTAGCCTTGACTGCTCACGGAAGTGGATAGTGAGCTCGTCGGGAGGCCTCAATTGACGCTCCCGAGTATTCCAGAACTGAGTGCTATCTTGGTGATCACTTCGGACGACCTTTGCGTCGTAGTGCAAGCAGACATGACTGAACGTTTTATACTTCATCAGGAGCTCAGATTGAGTCTTGCTAGGGGCCTCATTTCCATGTGATCAATCCATGCCTTCACCTTGTTTCGTTATCGCATGGAAGTAACAGTAGTAGTATTGGTGATGGTAATTGATTTTCTCGATTTTGTCGAAGATATTGTATGATATCCCTCCCCCTCCTCTCAAGAGAGAGCTTTAAGACGTTATGGAAGCCTTTGGTCCCATTTCTCGTTATTGCATCGCTGCTGGTCGAATTGAAGCACAAGCATGCGTGGTCGGGACTGCTCCCCTCCTTTAGGGAAGTAAGAGGCATTGTTTAGCTCAGGTGTCTGGGCGGTGGTTATCAATTTGGGAAAATAATATGCACATGTGTCGGCGACAATGTGAAAATTTTGAGGAAATTACTGTTGGTTTCTGTACACTTTTACATTGAGTCGTATATGAACTCTTATGATTAGTGAGGAAACTCCTGAGCCCAGCTGAGGAAAGCGAACATACATTTCCAACACTGGTGGTTGTCACCTTAGGTGATAGAATATTTACAGTCCCTCTCGAGCCAGGACACCAGTTGTATAAAAGAATACAGTCTTATCGGAGGTGACTGTCGTCACTGCTGTGGTAGCGTAACAACTTTTTTGTTGTTGTTCAGTTATAGTTTTCCTATCGACCGTTTGTGGTATACCAATATCGGCCGTGGAGGTGACAGGAGGGATTCTCCTGAAGTGGTATGCTCTGACTACTCGTCATGTGCGTTGTGACGACCGCAAGCTCTTCCTCAATCATAGCTCAAAGGTTGGTCCTTCACTGAGACGCAATTCGGTAACGGGTAGAGAGAGAGATGATACCAGGTGCCGAATCTCTGCTGATGCAGATGACAGACGTTCAGAAAAAGGTTGAGATAACCCTGAATTGAATGCAATAGTGAAGAATGACGTACTTGCCGGAACGACGAACGATCAACAATCGATATCGTACTAGAGGCAACTATGGCCGTTACACTATTGCATGAAAGTATCTTCGTGCATATCTACGATAACCGTCACAGGGCCCCCTAGACTGAGGCGAGCATGTGAGGATCAGTCTAATCTTGAGTGAAGGTTAACGCCGCTCCCGGATCAATCCAATCACCGATAGCAACAGCGTTCATCCTTGTTCTTGAATTCGACGTTACAGAATAATCTGCTCGTAGTTGGACCTTAAAGAGGACCGCCGCCGGAGGAACCAATCTCAAGACAGGTCTTGTGTTCGGGGGGGCGGTTTTAGATCTAGTGATCTTAGCCGAGTCGTCACACCATAGAGGGAGAAAGGCCTTAGACTTCTCCCCGCCGTCATGAACATGAACTCGTACGGCTTCGGCGTCACAGTCGATCACACGACCGATCATAAAGGCTTTATTGACGTCGTCCGAGACCGATACATCTTGAGTAGGGATCTCGTACAGGACGCATTCACCGGTCTTGAAAAGAGCTCCGTTGCCGGCTTCTCCGGATGCAAGTTTCTGAGCGTTGAGAGCAGGTTGCATTATTGGCCTCGCATCTCCTGCTGATGTGAGCTCTGTAGGGTGTACCCTCACGCCGGAGTCTAGCCTCACCGAAAGTATCCTGCCAGAGTACATATCATAGGTTAAGCTCTTAACGGAGTCCTCAACACCTTGGTATAGGACGATATCACCAACCTTGCAGCTCAGGAAGCTACCCGATTTCTTGTCGGATTCTGCGACCCGGTTGAACAGGTTGTAATGACCCTTGATGGCTGACTCAGCAGAATGCTCCTTGACGAAATCATCGGCAAAGTCGGTAACCATCTTCACCAGTTTGGTTTCATCGGCATCGGATAGTTCGATGCTCTCGCTCTGTGCATGAGGAGGCCCAGCTCGGTTCGACGTCAATGGGGTAGGCACGTCTTCGCCAAAGAGTCTCCGGAACACCCCAGAATTATAGTTGTAGGCGAATTCAGCAGATGCGAGGTGCATTTCAAGGTCACCGATGTCCTCACAATCCCCAGACTCATTAATGAAGGTCAGGGCTGTTGTTATCGCAGAATTTGCCCTCTCAACATTTGCGGACCCTTGGGGATGACGAACGCATGAGAATTTCAGTCGATAGCCGAGAACCGACCCGAGAAGCTTGCTCAGATCTGCGATGAAACCAGGACCGTTGTCGGATGACAGCTTTCTACATACCCCTCTCTTGCAGAACCACCTTCTGACAACCGTTTGCGCCGTCACAAGAGCCGACTTGTTCTTGACGTACTCCAGAGCCAACTCTCCGGTCAGCCGGTCCACCATGGAAAGGACCGCACCGGTCTCATGGATTCCGGTCAGCCTCTCTTTCAGAGGGGGTGGCAACTCTTTATGGTCTATTTGAAGCTCTTCGAATCGACCATATGGAAGTGGTGGTCGGGCCGGGACTTGTTTCCTCAAACGACGAGTCGACGTAGAGCATACAGGGCACTGAGAAACGTGCCTCTTCATATCGCTCATCATGCCAGGCCACCAGGCGGTCTCGCAGAGAACGTTCATGCTGGCCCCCACGCTCATGTGAGTCGCCCCACTAAGGAGCTCGTCATGGGAGAGGTAGAGCAACTGTTCCCTGAGATACCGGAGACCATCATACACCTCAATGACCTCATCGTTCAGCAAGTTTGCCTCGCAGTCGACTGGGACGACCAACACAAATCCCGACCGGGTGCCAGCGTAGACTGCGGCTGTGAAGAGTAACATCTGGTCAGAGAGAACGAACAGACCTGCATCAGTCCACGATTTGATGGTACCGGTTCGGTCTTGTAGGGAATCCTTCTGGTGAGTGAGGAAGTTGTAGATTTCAGCGACAGTAACCCCTTGCCAAAGTGTCTCATCCTCGGCGTAGGCATCAACGATCTTTTCGCAAAGAGCCTCGTCCACGTCGAAAGCCGGGCGAAGATCAGGGCGTCCTCCGGGAAGGGCCGCGCAAGCAGGGGCGCCAAACCTCTCAGGAAGGGACTGAGACGCATACTCGTCCCCAAGACGGCTCAACATGTCGGCAATGGTATTTCGGGCACCGGGAACATGCTCCAAGGTGTGATCCAGGAAGGTCAATGCGGCGATGTTCTCCGACCATGAGATGAACCGCTTCGCCTTCAAAGAAGCTGCCGGGTCGTGAGGGACCTTCAATGTCTGCCATTGTCGAATGGCAGTGGTACTATCAGCCCATATGACAATGCTAGGACCGAGCTTGCCCTTCATGGCGTGATCGACCAACCGTGTCGTGGAGATCCAGAGCCTTATCCATCTCTTTGCACTACTATATATGGCATAGGCCTCCTTCTCCACTGTGTGCCATCGTTGTTGGGCTCCAGTTAGCGCCTTCGACCATATTGAGACCAAAGCGGCACCTTCAAGGCGGGCTTCAGGGTTCCCAGCATTAGATGGGTCAAAGAGGACGTCAGCTTTAGCTCGGTACAATGCCCCACCGGCGGCATAACCACTTGCATCCGTTTGTACGACCCACGAGTAGCCACCAGTGCAACCATTCACCTCGTCAAGGTCGCCGTGCAAGGCTAGGTTCTCCGTCGTCATCATATTGCAGAGTCTCGAGACTGCGTCCGGGCCTTGGGTATCGTTCCACGAGAACTTCTTCATGGTCGAGATGTCATGCAGGATACGTAGTTCATCGCCCAAAGCAGAGAACGTACCACCTCTAAACGCCGTTGACGCCCAGTTTATAGAGCCAATGAGCCTTTTCACTTCCGTGGAGTTCTTAGGCTGATGGCGGAAAAGGGTCTTGAGCTTCTCCAAGTTGGCGTCAGATACCCGATAGAAGGGACCCTCGAAGAACAAACCGATGGCCGTCACGCTAGGACTGATACATGACGGGACCTTATCGCTTACCTCCTTACGCATGCATTTCAAGGCAATCTCCACAAGGCGACGGCGGAGACGGCAGCGGTCTTCTGTTTCGGCATGCACAAGAAAATCGTCGACAAAAAGGGCCATCCAGTTCTTCCAATAACCGCCGTAGACGTAGGAGAGGGAGGTGTCGAGATGTCGCCCCCAGAAGAGAGCGCTCAAACCCAGACCTTGAGAGCAAGTGCGAGACCGTATCAGTCGTCCATTCAGTCGAAACGTGAGCCATTTCTGACAAGGACTAGCAACCCGGCATCCGTGGAAAGCCGACGATACATCAATGATGGAGTATTGGCCGGTACACTGTGGTATCGAACGGATGAACCGATCTTGGTTCGGTATGAGTTGGCCTTCTCGTAAGTGTTGATCAATCTGGATGGCCGCATTCAAGAGCCGCAGGTCGACCAGTACTCGGACCACTGGCAGGTCATCCTCCATGCGATCCTTCTTCTTCACGAAAGCCGGAGATACCCAAGCGTCGGGCTCGAGGTCGTTCTCGTCCAACTCATACCAGTGACCCTTAGCGATCTCGTTGTCGATGGCTCGATTGGTCGCCTCCCTCAGCCCGGATGGGACAGTATATGAGCGGTCCGCTTGGTAGGGGTGTGTGCCGGGTTTCAACTCGAAGCTGAGTGATGGGAGATCTCGCCCTTCTAGCTGCTTTAAGCAGAAAGTTTCAATCTCGTGGTCAGTGCCTTTCAGGAACCGGGCCTCAATCTCATCGAAAGGGTGACACTGCGGGCCTCGATCCAGACCATTGACGACGCTGCAAACTGGACTGGCTCGCCCACGGCATAGGGGTCTCAAAGGTACCTTCAAACCACAGTCTGTAATGTCAAGGCGAGGCACAGACCAACTAATGTTTGCCCCCATCTTTTGCATGCTGTTACTGCCAAGGATCATCCTTGCGTCAAAACAGAGGTGATCCATGTCGACAGCATAGGCTGAGACCACAACGCCTATGTCGAAATCGTCCGGCTCGAAGTACAGACCAATTTTGTAGAGGCCGAAAGTGTTGAGAGAATGGCCCGATGAGGACACGAAGCGATCAGCACCGGGCTGTTCTACTCGTTCCCACTCGGGGTGCAGGGCCACCAACCGCTTGTCAACAAGATTTGGTACAGACAGAGTGTCAACAGCAACCACAAATCTCGCTGACGCGGAGAAGAACCGTGGAGCTGTGATATACAACAACTCATATGACCTCGACTCGGGTGACCTAAACAACCTCACCCGGTTCTCGCTGATGTCCTCGGAGACACGTCTGGTGCTCGTTATGAAGGTCTTGAAGGCCGCTTCCGTGCGTGCCTTGAGTATAGGGGTAGAGTGGTTCATATGGAACATTATAAGGACACTGATGACCATGGGGTTATCGAGCTCATAGGCCACTTCCATGTGTGAGCTAGTTTCCTCCAGTGTAGACACAGTGGTCCCCTTCTTGGATAGGGTATCAAACACTCCGTCCTTGTTCAACTTGTTCATAAGTTGTGGAAGAGTAGCACACCAGAAATAGTTATACAACCACCTATAGTGGGCTTTCATGTTTATGCATAAGGCCAGAAGGTGGGAAACATCTCTCCTTGTAGTAAATGTTGGGAATCTTCTCGATGAGATTGCGGAGACAGTAGTAGCCTCATTAGTAAGAGTCGCGTTGGACTTCTTCGTAATGGAGTCGGAGTTACCGGTAGTCTTGAGAGTTTTACTATCGGTCTCTGATGTCGGTAGGATGACTGCCGTAGGAACCGTAGCATCAACTTTTTCTGAAGTTGTGACGACCGCAAGCTCTTCCTCAATCATAGCTCAAAGGTTGGTCCTTCACTGAGACGCAATTCGGTAACGGGTAGAGAGAGAGATGATACCAGGTGCCGAATCTCTGCTGATGCAGATGACAGACGTTCAGAAAAAGGTTGAGATAACCCTGAATTGAATGCAATAGTGAAGAATGACGTACTTGCCGGAACGACGAACGATCAACAATCGATATCGTACTAGAGGCAACTATGGCCGTTACACTATTGCATGAAAGTATCTTCGTGCATATCTACGATAACCGTCACAGCGTCTCTATGATGGTGGTCGCGGTCCTCAGGCGTGCGCTCCTGGTGGCGTTCCCAGCTAAGACCATGGGTTGTGCAGTATCCTTCCTTATGGGAAGGTATTTCTGGTGAGTCTTGGCTGCTACTGATGGGAGGCTTCGTGACGACAGTGACACTCTTAGGTTTGATTTCGTGCGTTCTGCGTTGGACAAGAGCGACTACTATAATGCGTTACAAATTCTCACGGAAAAATCGGAGTTGAAGTTCCTCTTCTTGTCCAGGTTTATGTATGTGAGTGGAGACTGCTGTTATCATACTGGTGTTATGATCCCCGATCTCAGGTGCCGATTTGGGTGAAGAATTATGGCGCTTCTGTAACGGCAGTATCCTTCCGAGGATTCCTCATAGCCTCTACAACAGTCGGCTTTCTCTTCTCGGTACTCTTCGTATACGTCGGGGTCACAACGAGCAGCATACTAGGAGCGATGTCTACAGGGGTAAGCGTTGATGAGTCGCAAGATAGCAAGATTCATGTTATTGCCAGTCTGAAAGCACCAACCCGGTTACACTAGTCCATCAGTTGCCTATAGAAACCCGAGTACAACCTCTCGGGAGTCCCGAGAGCCTCTCGGCGAGAGGTCTGAAATCGGAGTCGGGACCCATCCCGACCCGAGTCGGAGTAGCACCCATCCCGAGTCGGGACCCCTAGTCAGCACCAGTCCAGTATCACCCGGGGCACCTAGCACCCCGCCTACCTCGCCAGGGCTTTCATAACAGCGTCCTGTCAGGCGGTGTCCGGTGGTCATTCCGATCAGTCGCAGAAGTTTCGCCCTAACGAGATGAAGTGGCTGACCTCTTTGATCGATGTGTACCCTTCTCGGCATTGTGCTGATAGTTTCGTCGGCATTTGCTGCGAGACGCCACCCGAAGTGAGTTGCTGCGTTCGTCTAGTTCCACCGTTCAACCTTTGTTACTGATAAACAATCGTTACTCTTCCCCGAGTATCATACCAGAGAAAGAATAATAGTTATTCTTTGGGGGAAGATTCGTGATTATTTGAGTCCTTGCCGTGTGCTGAAGCGCCACTCTCTGTAGCCTCACTGCCGAAGGATGAACTCCAAAACTTTTGCGTTCGTAGATGTGATGAATGGGGATCGGCATGAGTTGGGTCTCTGACTCATACTACTCACCGGTTGAATTCCGATTCTGAGGCGGCTTGCGTACTCATCATCAGTGATGCATCATTATAGTAGCTAACTCCCTATTTCATACAACTCAAAGACCTCGCATCAGGCGCTGTCCAGCTTCACCTCACAATGAGGGCCTTGACTCTCACCCTATTATATGGGAATATGGGGCGATGGGCAGAGGCAGAGGCAGAGGTGAAAAAATGGACATAAAAAATGGAAAAATAGACATAGACATGGACTCATTCGCTTTTCAGATAATGAAACCTCTAAAAACATACTCCAACCACCTTCTTATAACGAGGTAAACCATAGCTGGGAGCCGGATTACATTCCGATGACAGCAGAAAAGTGAATGATGCCTAGGTCGAGTCGACCTAATAGGGATCTCATACCTTCACCGTGAAGGCTTAAAGGCTTCACGGTGACTTCACCAGGGTCACAAGTTGGCCCCCCACTGATGTGTCAATAGTATTGGCTTTACCATGATATATAAAGCGCTTGAGGTCACCGCTCTTTAATAAGCCCGGACACTTCTTGCTAGCAGTTTGTATGAAGGTTTGGTAGTGCAACCCGTTGAATATCTTGAAGACATAGCGATCCTCATCAAGTTTCAGGGCCCATGACTTAACTCCGTCTGGAGCCAACCTACAACTGACTCGCAGAGTGACCTTTTCTTGCGCGGGCGGATCTGTTTCAAAAGTTGCTGACACAGTTACATCGCCAGGCATTTGCTTGGAGTACTCGCCGCTCGGTGGAGGAAACTTAGCATCAGACTGGGTAGCCAGCAGAGCAATAATAACAATATGAGGCAGGACCAGGACCATGAGGATCGTATTGGCTTTGTTGAGAGGGACGGACTTCGATGCTACACCAACACAGGCGAGAGAAGATAACTAACAGGGGAGAAAAGTCATCTCGGGATTGTAAAGTCCTCGCTATTCGTGGGGTTCGGCTCATCGTTGGTCATGCGGCCAATCATCCAACTTGACCTCAGTAACGCGTCACCGAATATGTGGCGCTTCACGTGTCTTTTACCCGGTTATGCGTATATCGTAACAGGTAGCGTGTTTCCACTCTGTTGCGTATGGAGGTACCGCTACGATGATATAAACAGCCGCCTCCGACCGTGATCGTGTCTGTCGGTGATCGCGTCTGTCTTGACTCCTGCATTTTCTAATATTTGGTTTATTCGTGTATGGCTGTGGCGCCCCAGGCGCTCCTGGCGCTGTTGGCGCCACCAACATCGCTGGCCATCTACTCCGTGATCGCCGCTAGGGCTGTAGCGAAGTCACGTAGCGATCTTGCTCACCTTCTAGCTACGTATCCTTACCTTGCCCAAAGTAACCCGGAGTACTTCGGGCAGTGCCCAGCCCTTTCCGAGGAACATCCTACTAAGGTTGCTATCAGATGTGGGTCTAGCGGCTTGCTCGAATAGTCCGGAAACAGAAGCTGACAACCTACTCCGTAGTGTCGCACTACTTATCCTCAACACGTGGGCGAGTTTCTCCGCAATACTCGCGAGCTTATATCTGCCTACTCGAGCCCCCTCACAGTGAGGGCCTCACTGGAGCCGGCCATAAACTCCGTAACAGCCACTAGAACTGCCATGTACTTCCCCCTGACTGGAGGTGAAGAGTCTAGTCTTTGGATCACAGACTTGACCATGTCTGACTTTATATAAGGGTGGCTCACCCTTATGATCAATCATCACAACAGAGCAGGCCCCCTAAGCGAAGAGTGCGAGGCGACAGTCCCCAGCCTTGCCGTCCAAAGACACGGCAGTCGTCCCCTCCCTGCACTCATGGACTTGATCATCGATGAAGAACTCCTTCTTCCCAGACATGCTTTGACGCAACTCGATGGTCCTTCAGGAAGACTCCTCCTCGGCTGGCCTGCAGCAGAAGGCTTCTGCCGGAAACATGATGGCTCGATATGAGGAATCCAATCACACCAGAGCAGACATCTGCGAAAGTCACCCAAATTTTGCTAGGGCAATATCGTCGTTGAAGTAGATGGTAATACCATCTACGTCAACGATGATATTAATACTGTCACGACATTCAGAAGGCGAATCTTGCGCACTCGAGGATCCTCAATCTCAAATCAGCGTGCTGTATATTGTCCTGACAATCCTTTATCTCTTTTTTCTTGGGTTAGAGTGCGTACGATCGCACTCCGAGGGCACCAAGTTTTGGTGACCTCGGAGTGGGGCCGTACCCTTGATGATGAAGGATCCCTCGGCGATGATTTGGCGCATCTCTCCCTCTCCCATTAGATGGGACTCTAAGTCTCAGTGAAGCTCTACTGATAGCAGAGTTTGATGTGGATCGCATGTCCTGGTCATCGAGCAAGCACTTGCGTACACCCGACAAGTCTATCGATGAGCGGATAAGAATAGGGTCTAAGAAACCGAGTCCCCAGAAGTACGGAGATGTTGGGAAACACATAGGGGATATTGCCGGTGGCAAGATAAGTAGGCGAGTCAACCATGAGGTCACCACCACTACCTTCACCGCCTTTGTTTCTCGTACGGCTTCCTCATCGTTGAGTAGAGCCCTGGGTTCCCTGTCACACATCTACGTGTTGCTTCTGTAACGTCAACGCCATTCTCTTCGCTGTATGTGTACCCGCTCCGTGAGTCTGCTGGTGTACAGGTGTAAGCCGTCTGGAGAGGTGTTCTACAGCCCCCGAGGCACATACAGGTGGTCGTGGCCCAGGTAGCGGTACACACCTGTCCTGCTGGGCTTCCTACAGCATACCAACAGGTCATTATCAGAGCTACATAGTATCCCCCATGTCTCTACCGAACGGAGGAAGATTCGCCCCGCCACGTTGCAGGTCAATGTTGGGTACTCTGAAATTGGTGAGGGTCCTTCCTACTCGTCAGGGGCCCGATCCGTTCGTTAGCTGCGTGAACTCGATGGTGCTGAGGCTATGGGGCCTGGGTCGACCCTGAGGGAACGAGCTGCATCCTTCTCACAGTGAGGGTTGATACTGACCGATGTGCCCGATGAATAAGGGAGGGTTATTCAGTAGCAGTCGCGTGCCTGAGTTCATCGATGGCCCTGTGAAAGTGGCCGCACAGATGCCCGCGCCAAATGAATACGATGTTGGTAAGGTTGTCGGACTGATTTCGGGCGTCACGAGGAGAAATATCTTCAGCGACTGCCCATTCCAAGCTGAATGAGAGAGGGCGGTATCCCACCCAGAAGCGAGGACCGGGAAGATCTTTACGGGGGAGAGGCACCAGCGTAGTAGATGAGATAGCAGCAGCTAAGAGGTCGGTGACCGAAGCCGCGTTGACTGCTTGCGAGTGTGATAATGGTGGTCATCTGGAAGTGGTGTCCACCTCAGGTTTCTGCCGGGGCCTGGGACGTACAACCCTGGCCGTCTTCCTCAGCGACAGAGTCAAGCTGAACCCGTCCCCGAATTGGGAAGGAATACTTCTGTCGAGTCTCGGCGGCTTTGTGAGGCACTTACTGTGAGGATTCAATCTTGGTATAGATGCGCCTTATCAGTTCTAGCGAGGGAAGTGCCGGGGCCTGGGACGTATGATGTTCCTGCAACACCAGGAGGTCCGGTGCTGGCCGTTATGAAGTCGGGCGAGGCTCGATTGCCTTATCCGATGCCTGTGCCGTACGGCCAGTCTAGCTCCTTTGTCATCTGTTGGTTTAGTCATCAGGTTCGACTACAACTGTCAAGCAGATGTAGGTCGGGAGTCTCGAAGAAAAGATTCGAGCGATGTTAGCAAGTCGCTGATGAGGATGTCCACAGCTTCGTCTAAGCTCATAGGTTGGGAATGTTTTGGTTGTTGCCCATTTATGGTATTCAGATATGCTCACAACTACTCCTATAGCCGCCCGAGTCGGAACTGCTGATCAGATCTACGGCAGGTCCCGTCGACGGAGGAGACCGACTGCTAAAGGCCTCATTGATCGAAAGGACCATGATCCCAATTTCGTGGCGCGCGACGTTTCGTCGCCGCATGTTATTCAAGCCAATGTCGAGAGTGATATCATCTCTGAACTTGGTGTGGCGACATTTGAAGCCTCGGGAGGGAGCCCACATACAGTGGTGCGGTCTGTGGAGCAGACAGGGCGAGCAAGGCCGGTTGATGTGGACGTGGATGGTCAGTCGAAAGCCGCCGTCCCTGAATGGCACTCCGAGGAGGACTTCGGCGCCACTCAGGAAAAGCAAACTCACAAGTCAGCAGTGGTGAGCATGAGTTTGCTGCTGAGTTGCTGCTTACGGGGAGTGCTATTCAGGCCGATGAGCCCGGGAAGGGTATCTCATCTATCGAGAAGAGGCTGGAGGACTGTGAGTCCCCATGGGGTCATTGTAGTCTTAGCCTTCCCGTTACTCTCGTGGCGTATAAGAACCGCTACTGTCTGCGTAAGTCACTCAGTTCGTAGGTGAGACTCTCTACTCTACCGAGCTGGCCGGTCATCTTCGTCGGCCCAAGCCGAAAGGTAATTCGAAGCCGTCGTGTTCGCCTCGGTAGTTCTCGTGTCATCAGGGCTGTTCTTACCGGAGTCGTCTGTGGACAGGAGAATCGTGAGGAATGACTGCCAGACGGTCGATGATGACGATTGGCTCGATTTCCGACACAAGAGGGTGAGTAGTGCACGGCTGTTCCTGGACATTGAGAGTACGCTTGAGAGGCGGCGGCGGTTGGGATGGAGTCATCGTTATAACTATTATCGTGAAACCTATGTACAGGGTGATGCAAAAAACCGGGCCTATGTATTGGATTCCAATGGCATATGAGAATTATAAGAAACACAGGGCACCGTTTTGAGATTCTCGATGCGCTCTCTCAGAAGCTGTATGAATCATCGTCATATTAGATTTGTACTATGAGAATTTTCCTTCGGGAGAGATACTATATATAGAGAAACCAGCTGGCAGAATCATATGGGGTGCTCGTAACGCCTGCCGTCAATTTTCCGGGGCAGCTTGGGCCCTATTGTGGATGAGTATCACGATGATTCATACATCGTTTGGGATAGCTCAATGAGAGCTTAAAAATGGTACGCAATCTCTCATGATTTGCACACGCCACGAAAATCCATTATGTGGGCCCGTTTCTGCATCATCCTGTAGTTGTTCGAGGGCCACGCTGGTGTGGAGAGCCGGCGCGTGATCAGTATACACTGTAATCATGTTTATCAGGCATGGATCGCAGTCAAGGCCCTTAGTGAGGCTATGCAGACGTTACTTGACCCCTTGGACACGCCTGTGTTGCTGGACCGGGCTGAGGTGGATACTCGACGGTCGTGCTTGAGGCCTCTATGGGGAGCGTTTGCTCATCATCAGGCTCTATTGATGCGCAAGTTGGTGTCGAAGGCGAAGCTATTAGGGATGACTCCAGACCAATGCCAAGCCCTTGTTCGGGAGTTGCCAAATGCTATTGCAAAGTGGAAGTCGGAGTTGACCAAGAGCTCCACGTAGTTATCATGTACCCTTGGCTCGAGCATAGTCCTTATGTTGTTCTCTGTACAATTAAGTGTTGTGTATTGTCAACGATTGGCTGTCCGAGGGTGTACGTTGTTGTAGTGTGAGTGAGACAGACAGAGAGATGTTCGAGAAGGGCTTTTTACTGGTATATGGGAGGCCTCATTAGCTATAAGAAGCTATGGGGGCATGGCCCTTTGAAAGTCGGCCCCTTATAGTAGCTCCGAGTCATAGTGACTGAAACACTAGATTCATCACTGTTGTAGTTTGTAATGACCCGTCGTTCGCCGGGTGAGATCCTCACCTCGTTCTCGGAGCTAGGCTCCTCTCCAGCGTCACACTCGGCGTCCCCTTCCCGCAGGGCAGCTCAAGCCATCAGGAGCCGATTCCTCAGCAGTCCGGCGACGGCTGCAGCGGCACGGGGCCTGCATGAGGTAACGACACCCCATACCACCGTTTAGCTATTCTGGAAGTTTTCGAAAGCTCGATAGGTTGTAGTTGATGTTCTTTTTTTCTAGATAGGCGACCGTTGTCGATGGTCCCTCTCATCTGCCAAGCCTGGGTATGGGGTACTTCAATTGAAGGACAATTCCGAAGAGACGTTCTGGCAGAGTGATGCGATGTCAGCGATTACCTATTCCATGGACGAGCAAAGGGCTCAGCAGCCGGGTGTTGTCAACCATAGCATTGATTTGGAGTTCACCAGAGGTCTGGAGAAAGTCACGGTAGGCTCAAGGCTTCTTCCTGCTGTCAGTGATGATGCTGATGATGTTCAGGAGGTTCATATGTTCGTCTCGTACAAGGCCGATGAGTCGTACACTCCCTCAACCATTTCCGTTCGGATAGGAAATACCCTTTTTGATCTCAACGTGGGGAAGATATCGTTGCCAGGCTACGAACAACAGGCTTTCGTTTGTAGGAAATCCAGAGATTGGCTTTATATCAGCCAGAAGGGTGGATAGTCATACCGCTAGCTCTTACACGGACGAATGACAATCCTGAGTAAGTAGTTCGAGCGCTCACGGGACTCTCCGGTTACACGAATGCGACTTCACTTACGATTCACATTGAATCAACCATTACGATCCGAGTCGCTGTTGTGTGGAAGACAGTGGTAACTACCATTAGTTACCATCTCCAACGAGGAGTTACTTTCCGGGATGATATTGTTGCACAATCGTTCGTGAGGACCTTCTACCTCCAGCTCGCTATCCTGAACAACCATCAGGTAGCATCACTGACAGCTCCTCTACGATACTATGCTGTGTCCTCAGAACGGCCGAGATACTCACATACGACAAGTCCGTGTATATGGTCCCCGACCACCTGAGCCGTCAATAGCTGTCACCAACGGCGGAGACGAGGAGAACTGGGGTCTATCGGTTTTCAACACGACCAGTATGCGCTCTGGTGCAGCACTTCGTTGAGATGAACAGCTTGCATGGCCATTTCAGTCAGCGTTTATTGTTTGGTTTATTGTTGAGTGGAAATACGTTGAACTGTAGCGATGCTGCCACCATCGACACTTAGCGAACCGCAGACGACTAAAGTGGCGCACAGTGAATCGCACACGAGGTAACGAGCTGAAGCTCATGTGTGTCCAAGTTTAATACTGAGTTAGGGATACTCGTGGGACCGCCTCGGCTAAGAAGTGGCTTCGAATGATACTCGAGGAAACTAGAAAAACAGCTGTACGTTCTAGTGTGAAGACGTAGGAGTCATTGGTGGCGGTTCAGATCGAACGGCTCCTGGTGGTAGAGCAAAGTTTGGGGAATCTCGAAAACGTCGCGATTCTGCGACGATCGCTGGACGAGTTGAAATGGCGACAGTGGGATCGGAATGGGAGAATGACCAGGAACGATGGCTGCAGGCTAAATCGCCGTGAACGTCGCTCCCGCTCGGTTGGCAGCTACTCGAAGATTGGTGATGAACTCGGGGAGAGACCATCTAAACTCGTCACGGATGTTCCCGCAGGTCTTTTCCTATTTCGCTCAGAATCCTCTGGAATTCGTTCAACCCTTAACTAGCTTCTGTTGCAGACACAGTGGAGTCCCCCGAGATTGGCGGCATCACGGAGAAGGTTGGGAAGAAGGACCAGTTGTTCAAATCAGCGGTCCTCAATCGGTTACAGGAGTTACGATCGGACGAGTGACCAGCGGGACAGTCTGTCCCCATAATATTGATTTTCTCATGAAGAACTGAAAGGCCGTATACAGGAAAGCGTTTGCGTTGAGTAAATGGTATCGATTCTCGAGGATGTATTCGCTGCCAGAGCTCGAATTGGACAATTGCCGTTCTGATGAACCGTTCTAACTACGTCGTTTTGTGTTGAGCTGTGTGTCGCTACAGGTTTCCTAGGAGGGCGCATTAGAGATCTCTGGCCGTCTCGTCGGAGTCAACAGCATGTGAAGGGCACTGCGGTTGAACCTCGGGCGAAGCCATCTACGTTCAAGCCTCAGACGTGGAAATTACGACGATTGAAACTTTTCCACTGATGAGGACGTTTTTGGATGAGCGAAAAATTCCGGCACGATGCAATTTCGCGCACATGTGTAAACTTTACCCAACCGTTGGTTAGTGCGTATTTATCACACCTTGGGCTGTGTTAGGTTTCGCGCTCGCCCATAAATTACTTGAATGGTCCTCAGTCCGGCCCAAAAACGTCAGAGCACCGACTCAGCAGCAGCCGAGGCCTCTGCGGGTGTTGAGGATGGCAGTCAGACGAAACGACGGCGAACTGGTGGGTATCACAACCCTCAAGTCTTCGGCATAAGTCAACGACAGTGGCGACAGAAGTCCTATCGAGATCTATGCTCTGTTGTACTGCGGTGGATGCGGTCGAAAGATCGGAATCAATTCTTCTATTTCCCGGTGGATGTCAATGAGGTGCCGACGTATAGGGATATCATAAAGAACCCTATGAGTTTCGACCTGATGGAGGCGCGTGCGTCTAAGAAGGCCTATAAGACGCTTGACGATGTTCAGAAGGACTTCAAGCTTATATGCGAAAATGCTATGAAATTCAACCCCGAAGGTTCGATATGGTATAGAGCGGCTGAGGTGGGCTGGCTCGTTTCGGGCGAATTTTGGTATGGGGATGTTTTCAGAAACTGCAAGGTGATGGGGAGAAGCAATTCGATCTGGCCCAACTGCATGGTCTGAGGCTCCCTGACGCTGAATCGGCGATAGGGCCGACAACAACGAGTCGAACTGGCTCGAGGAGATCGTATACTAGGAAGGATCATGGTATTACGGGTGGCTTGGTTATGGACTTCAGTGAGGTTGGCGATTTGTTAACGTGTGTCAGGTATGGCAAGCCAAATGCATCGTAATACTGCAGACATAGATAGGATACCGCCTGGTATTAGAAATGCTATGTCTGGCATTGAGTATAGTGGTAGCCCACTGAACATGACCAAGGACCTCCTAGAGGCGTATGCTAACGTAGTCGAGGAGAATAGGTTCTCCAACAGAGGTGCTCCCAATATGCTTCTCCGTGTTGGACCTGATACCAACTTTTCCGCAAATCATGCCAAGACGGCAGGGTCGGTACTTCCGGGCGAGCTTGAACCAGAGAAGGCAGAGAAGAGCATAAGGCGTTTCCTTGATGGTATCGAGGGGTTGCCTGAGGGCTTAGTCGAACGGCATGTGCGTAACCGTCTGGATGGGTGTAGGAGTGTTGTGGCGCCCTTGAACGATTGTCGAGTGTTTGGCTTGGACACGGATGACTTTGTAGCGTTTAATGGTACGCTGAGGGTCGAAAGAGAGTTCACTGGCTATATATTGGGCGTTGGGTATGAGAATGCTATGCAAGCTGCTGGTCTGAGCGATGTTGGTAATAGGAGGGTAGTAGTGGGGGCGTTGAGATGGATGAGGATCTTGGCAGGTGTTGATACTGCACCGTTGAAGGAGATGGCTCAACGACACAGGGCTGCGAGGGAGAAGCAACTGCAGGGTATCAGAGGACATGAATCTGCTACTGGGGCGGCGAGGTAATCGTGAAACAGGGATGCTCGAGTGGTGGCTATCAATCGGATCTGTACTAGGGCTGTCCTACTGCCTCGTTGTAGGGTAGCGGTATATGTGTGGGGAAATTATGCGCCATCAATTCTCATCAGTGCCCTGTGGGGCTGATCTCGGATCGAACGACCATCGGGTTTTTAGGTCGGCATCTATCGGGGGATCAAGACAACCGTATCTTACTCCTGCTACCACATCTTGGTCAACACGGTATAATCAGAATATAGGGAGACCGGCAGTAGCTACTACACCGTACAACCAGGCGGCTCAGTGGGCGGCTCTGAATCAGGCCAACAGGACGGCTCATCTTAGGGCTCAGCAGCAGCAGGTAGGCAGCTCTATGGTGATGATGAGTATCCATGGATTCTTCGCTGTGCGCAGGCATCTGTACTAACACGGTCTGGGGTTCCCGGTTCTGGACAGGGTGCTTTTCCTTACCGAACGGGCATGCAGTCGATGTAACAGAGGATGTCTGCTGTGATGTTGGTGCTGATGTAACTGGTTGGTAGGTTCAATACCACTCCTTCTCTAACTCCTGGTTTGGTAGCACCCCCTCCAGGTAGTGCATTGGCAGAGTTCCAACAGCGGTTAGCTAGTGCTAGCCCAGAGCAACGACAGATGCTCCTCCGCAGTTTGGGCGAGGCGGCACAACGTCACCAAGCTGCAGGTGGTAAGACTAGTTGAATACGTACTGCGAGAGTGTGCTTCGCTCCGCTGATAGTTACCGATTATTTGTAGTATTCGTTGTAGGATTGTAGTTGCATATGAGCGACCCTTTGCGTTGATAATAATGGGGAGGGGGGCATACCTATAAGTATGGCCCTTGGGGATCTCAGGGATAGTCGTTTGCTTTGGGGGAGGGCCTAAAGGTTATTGACAAGTTTGTATTGTCTATGTCTCATTCACCATCATTATCATCATCTTTGGAGAGCTTGAGCAGTTTGCTTGAGGCCTCTCTTGCGGGTCAACCGTTGGGGAGCATGATCCTATTATGGATGTCCACTGCTTGCGTGAGTCGAGCGTGTCTACTGTGAATCTACGTCTGGCCCTTTGCGATCCTCGTGAGGTCATGGAGTGCCTTGATCAGCGTTACTGCAGGGGGTCTATGGGGAATATGTGTAGATCAGGCATTGCTGTTGTTCTTATCGAGAGGTTCCCTTAGGTGCTTGCTTTATCACTCACATACATCTACTTGTACTACCACACCCTAGGACCGAGACCACAACGGGGATCGATCGAGAATGCACAGGATGCTGAGGTTGAAGAGGTAGTCGCATACGAGTGGCTATGGCAGACCACGTGGCTGCTGTCTACTAGGGAGGAATGGGTGACCAACTTCACTGCAGATAGAATAAGTCTGATCAGATTCAACCTAATGTGGAGAACACTACGACGGTACCGGCTGGAGGGGCGGCACCGATAGATCAGGATGACGAGAAGCACTCGTCTGCTAGGAAGGTACTGGTAACATATCCTCTGCACTGTATATAGTATGTTTGGTTTTAGGGGCGAGGGGCCATGGGTTGCCTCGCTGATAGAGCATCACAGTGCTTTGAGCAACTAAAAAATTCGACCACTCCCGAGGAGGAGATCAATTCTTTGAATAAAATTAAAGATCTTTTCGCGGAGGTAGTTTCTGAGGTGAGCTCAAGTAGAGCACTACTACCCCTCCCCCTTAGATCGAGCGAGGCAATGCTCCGCGGGCTAGGGTGGTCTCGGCCGAAACCATTATCTGCAGTCAGCTCGTGCAAAGTGATGTAAGTCTTCTCAGAGTGGAGAACCGACTTGACCCTTCTGTGTTAATGGTGGTTTGCTACTTGTAGAAAAGGGCAGATCATTCGTGCTCCCCGTAGTACGATGCTGAGTTCTCTGTTAGAGGGTCTGCGATGTCGCCGTAGTCGTTGTTTCTTTTTTCCAGTTCCTATCGATTCTGAATCGAGCAAAGTCGAATGAAGAGTCTCCGGAAGGGTCAATACCACCGGAGCTCCGTGAACTATCAACTTGGCTCATCGAGAAGACAGTCCCGATCATATGGTCGACCTAATGTGCCTTAGTACCCTATGGGAGAGGTATAGTACCCCTGCGGCCTGATGCCGCTGTTCGCAAGATATTTCTCAAAGTCGTCTGTGGTCTATAAACTGAATCAGTGAGGTCATCACTTATGTTGTGTTTAACGGTAGAAGCGGCGGCGGCGGGGGCGGGAGCCTTTTTGAAGTGAGGGTTAGGGCGTACGAGTTGGGGTCCTCAACAGTGATTGTCCTACACAGTCTTCAAATGGGACACTTCAGGGCAACACCACTGTGTCCGACCTCTGTTGAGGATCACTTGTTCTTTTCTAGGTTGATTGTGTTAGGAAAACTACAGTTGTGGCTCCACCAGTGTCGGAATATATGTTTGCTACGTTTCAGCTGGAGTTTCCTCACTTAGAAAGTTCACATACGAGTTCGGGCAGAAGTGTACACACACCAGTGAGAATTCCCAAAAATTTTCTCGAAATTTTCATTTTGTCACCACCAGCACATGTAGTTGGCAATGTGCATATTTCCCTGCTATCGGTTTCCACGCTTAGTTGTTCTTTTTTGAGATCGTCGAGATAAAGGTAAATAAATGACTACCGCGTACCCTGCGTACGGTGAGCGTAAAACGGTAACGACTATGCATTCACAGCTGTCTACTACTGTGCCTAGCATTGATTCGGTTGATTACGACAACCGAATGAATGCTCAGCTTACAGGGATACCTGATGAAGGGGAAGCTCAAGTAAGCCTTCGTATCAGCTGTTGTTTGCAGCGTAAACTCACCTTTCTAGGACTTAGGGTCTTATACGCGTATTCAGTGGTAGATTATTGTTATCAAAAAAATCATGATCGGAAATATAGTGACAGGAAAAATTCTGGCCGTTCGCTTCGATGGTGATGAGTGTTTATGAAGAATTGATATTCGGACATGAAGTACTTCATTTTCAGTGGGACCTCGAGGACGACTCCGAGTTCCTCAGCGGTCCTGATGGGAAGGCCAACAAGGTGAGGAAGTCGATCCTCACGCCGTGGTGGTTGGATGATAAACGAGGCAGCAAGACCTTTGGCGTTATTGCGGATGTCGATGTTGATAGCGATTCTGAGCCGGCAACTACTTTGCCTCCAATACAGAAGCGGTACAGGTAGGTGGAAGAGAACGCATGAGCTGACTCGAAGTCCCTGTGGTCAGGTCCCGTACAGAACTTCAATATCACGTAGTCCCCTCCAGCTCATTTCGGCAGACCTGGCGAGCTATCAAGTGCCCATTCGGTGTTATAGGTGAGCTCCTCCTCTCGTAAATGGGGTTGTCGGAAAGGCAAGTTGTAGTGTAGGTGCTGGCTTTGCTGGCCTTATCGCACCTCCGAGACGGAAGACGTGGAATAGATCGTTCTCGGCTAGTGTGAGAATCATTCGCAGTGCGGGCAAGAACATCCCGCGGAATCCTTTATTGATGCAGTGAGTGTCTCGATGGGTCTTTGGTGTTGGCGGCAGGGGTAGCTTTTTCAGGAGCATATGCGATGTGAGCCTACCTGGTACGGGTAAATCTGGGGTAACTCGATGGAGGACGGCAGTAGGGCGATGCAAAATTGAGTGGTAAGTAGCAGCTCTTTGCATCGATCCTTGTCCGATATTCTTTTCAAATATCAAGTCCATGGCGAGCCAAGAATATAGTCATCCTCGCAGCGTTCATATGCAATATTTATGTGCCCAAGGAAAGCACCTTCTATGTTTATATTTTTTATGCCAAAAAAATCAGGTTGATATTAGCAGAAGTTGAGGTTGATACGAAATTGGATATCCCAAGCAAAGTTGGGCCTTTAGATCTTGAGTAACGTAGGTATTGGCCATCGAAACGAACAGCGACGTTAAAGCGGCAAGTGTCATTCAAGGGTCCTGGGAATCTGCACGATAACTCCGACTGGCGAGATGCCCTGGGAGTAGCATAACCTCCCTGTCCTAGCGTCCATCATGATCATATTCAGGATCCATCGTATCCGGTCATTCTCTACTTTCACGGTGGTGCCTTCGTCCTGTGTACTCCCGGCAGCGTTGCTTACAGACCCTTCATCACCAAATGCGCATACGACTCTCAAAGTTTCATATGTGCACTCAACTACTCCCGCCCCCCAGAGATTGGGCTCAAAGATGTATGTTGGCTCGTTCGACGGAGTTTCACCCGCGATATGAAAAACACTAGTCCACGACCACTGCATAGCGCGAATACCGTGTTTTTCACCGAGTTTTACGCGGGTGAAACTCCATTGTTGTTTGTACTAACAGCGCTCGTTCAGATCATCGAAGAGGGCATCATATCGTATAGCTATCTTATCAACTCCCTCGAGATCCCACCCGAACGCATTGTTGTCATGGGTGACTCTGCTGGAGCGAATCTGGCCATGAGCGTCCTATTGCAAATAAAAGATAGAGGGCGATACCCACTACCGGCTGGCCTGGCCCTCCTGTCGCCCTGGGCAGACATGAGTGAGAATTGACCGCCTAAGTCAGTGTGGGAGTATATGTTTAGTTTCCTCAACTGAGCTCGTAAATTTCCTCGCTATTTTATGAAAAAATTCACACGATTTTGGGTAGAAGTGTGAAAAAATCAACCATAATTTCTTAAAAAATTTCCTCAAAATTTCGATATCCCTAGCAATACATGTAACTGATCATGTGCATATATTCCCACACTCGTCTAAGTTGAGGTGAGTGCTGATGGTATCTTTTGGCAGGCTTAACGGAAGATCAGCTATGGTGTGAGAATGCTTATTATGACTACTTACCGGTGGAACTGATAGTAAAATTCGCCAAGATATGCGCTGATTCTTCTGAGGTGAGCATGTGGGCGACTATTCATCTTAGTTGAGTTGGCCTTTCCCTGATCAGTTACCAGTGGACGACCCATTGGTGTCACCGGGCCTGTCACCATCATTGGACTTGCAAGTGCCTATCTATTGTACCTATGGCGAAGTAGAAATTCTGCGGGCATCAACGGAGCGGCTCTGCAGGAGGTGAGAATTCAAGCTAACGTGTGGTCCTCTGGGAGGTGTTTGGTGCTCCAGATTGAAGCTCGAAAATAGCAAAA